TAAAGTGAAATCCGATTCAGAGAAATGGCTTCACTAATATGCCATGCTGCCCATCTAATGTATCAAAATTAAGTAGAAAAAATAAACTATAAAAAGTTATCAGCTTATATCACAAACTGTGCCAGGAAGATAAGTGAGCCTCACAGAGATCCATATCTCTGTTGAGCTCCAATTAAAAGAAAACTACAACAGCTGTACTGTGTTGCCTTGATTTCACAAAGACATAGTAATGTCTTATGATGCGTTCAGACCAGACCTCATTTCCACGGTGAGTGCAGTGGATTCATATAGGCAGGGGCGGATCTAGAAAAATATTTATGGGGTGGCAAGAGGGGGGCAGGAATTTTTTAGGGGTGGCAACATATGGCATTTGTTTACACTGAATTTAATCACAGTTATCAAAGTTTGGTGAGAATAGTATGTACAGTACTAGTGTTTCATGTGAAACAGTTCATATTAATAATACATCGTACAATGTGATCTCACTTAATAGGAGATAGAAGAATGATAACACTACTTCTAGAGGGGCCTTATGGCAGGAAAGGTATTAAGGTAAGACACAGGTGCTGAGTCGCAGATGTGTGAGATTGACTGTCAGAGAGGCAGCTTTGCAGCATTTGCACAAGAAGAAACTATAGAAAGAAAGTTTCCCATCAGAGATCTATGGACTGAGCTGGACTAAAGTGAGCAGAACTACACAGTAGAAATAAATGGGTCAAGGCACCCGAACAAGGTACTGGACATCTATGTATTGTTTACTCTGAACACAGATTTACCCCATTTGTTCCTCAGTAACTTGACATACAGCAGTTACGGCAACATGAAAGGGACATTTCATGCATGTAAATATGCTGTAGATAGAGCTGTATGGAGGACCAACTCCGCCATATTTAAAAATAAATACAGAAATAAATAAATGCTCAATAAATATATAAGCATACAATTAATTGCCACCAAAAATACAATCAACAAATAAATGTAATTAGAAATTATATGATAATGGCAGGCAGAAATGTTAAAAGGGCAGGCAGAAAGAAATAGCGGCGAAGAAATAACTAGGGTAAAAAAATACAAAGGAAGAATAAAACAGACAAAAATATGATAACATGCACATAAATAAATACTTAAAAATATAAGTAATGAAAAAATGAAGTTGAAGATAATAAATGACAAAAAATAAATAAGGTAAATATTAAAAAGGCAAAGAAATAAAGAAGCCAATTAAAAGAGTTATATACCTTTATGACTAGCTGTATAATTTAATTTCTACTCACATTTATTTGTTGTTTGTATTTTTGGTGGCAATTAATTGTATGCTTATTTATTTATTAAGCATTTATTTATTTCTGTATTTATTTTTAAATATGGTAGAGTTGGTCCTCCATACTGCTGTATCAACAAATCAACAAAAAGGCGGGTTCTGTATGTTACATCAAAATCTCCACAAATCTGAAAAGAAGCAACATAAAAATACATTTTGCTTGTGAGTAGGTTCATACGGGTCATTTCTGGATAATTTCATACTATATATACAAAAAATGAAACAACAACACTGCTTCATATTAAGCAGGATTCACACCAGTATCACACTTTTAACTTTTAACACTTTTGGTTTTATTAAAGGAAATATCAGATTTTCTCAGGTGCCAAAACAAAATGTAACAGCTCTGTAAAGGTTCACCAGAGAGCAAAACATAAAGTTAACATGACTATAACAGCTGAATGCGGCGATTTCCATGTTGCTCAGCAAAACGCTTCACAACTTTATTTAGATCCAATGCCTTTGTGCGTTTTGATTTGAGTGCAACCAAACTATATAGTCTCTTTTCTGTCATAGTTGACCGCAAATATGTCTTTATGAGCCTGAAACGTCAGGCCTAACTAACATCATAGTTAGAGAAATAACGTTCTGCACCCTGATTTTTATCATCTGTAAATCAGCATTGCAGCTATGCTAGCAACATTGAGCTTTCATTATGATTTCATTTCTCGATAGATAGTTAATCAGTTTTTACCTGTTTCATCCCGTGTCTCCTCTCCCCATCACCCCAGGCTCCCTCGCTTTGCCTCATTTGGTTTTCAAAACAATCAGTCTCAGTCGCTCTCGCGTCATTTCGTGCTGCATTCACTGCAGTCCGGCATTGGAAATTAGCGGTCGTAATTCTCAAATGATCCATAATTTATAAGCCTCGCCACCCCTACCGCCAACTGGGGTGGCAGCAGGGGTGGCAAGGCTGTCATTTAGGGTGGCAGTTGCCACCCTATGCCACCCCAGTAGATCCGCCTATGCATATAGGATTCCTATATGCGGTGAGATTCACTGCTCTGCTCTCTGCTCATGCTACTGGGCGGAACTGAGGTGTTGTCAAACAGCTGCACCACATGGTGATCGCTGAACTTTACTGTAAAATCGCAAAATGGCAATACAATCAGGAACTGGCTGTATTCGAATCTGTGCCACTTAAGATGGAAAATAGAGAAAATAATGTTAAAAAAGATCAAAATAAGGAATGATCTCAAGAGGTTTTCAGGTGCCTTAAAAAGAAGCTGTTTTAATGTGGCCCTAGAAGCACTGATCATCGTCCTCACTTACCTCCAGCACAGAGCCTTGTCTGTCAGTGCCCACTGTCCAGCATTGGTCCTTTCTGTGTGTGGAGGTTTACAAGGACGTACTGCCGAATCCGACCATTATCCAGACACAGCTCTGGATGAAACAATGTGGACTAATTTTTACAGACCTTTTTGGGCTTTTCCAAGATTTTAAAGTCTCCATAAGGCAATTCAAAAGTTGTTCATAGAGAACAATTAAACAGTAGTCCATTATGTTAAGTTTCCCCTGTAGTTTTATTGTGAAAATGCCAACAGCAACACCTTGACAGGAAATGCCAGGGGTAAAGGCAGGTCCAAAGTGAAGGGTCTGGGAGGCTGGTGATTTACTAAATGTTGAACAATCATTCCAGCCCCTAAATAAGGTGAACATGCCGACTTTCATATTCAATACCAGCACAGGAATACCATGTGACGTTATGCCATGACTTTATATCAGGAAACAAGCGCAGCACTAATGTCTACTGGAATAGCAATGTCATCGGCCGAAATTAAATAATTAAAAATGATTCCATCGTAAAAAACAAATCAGGACAAATGATAGTTTACCTGCGCAAATGAAATAGCATTAAAAAAATTAAATAAGCCAGATAATTCTGATTAATATCAAAGCCTAAAGGGGGGATATTTGACATCTGGATGACCTAAAAAACAAAACTATAGTATCTCTGAAACAACGGTAGCACACATGAACTTTTTTTACTTATGTATTTTTTATTTTTTACAAATGACCATATCATATGCACCAACCTGCACTAAGAATCAATAACCATTCAGTCTATTTGCTGAGATTTTTTTCACGTCAGTGGGGTGGCAGCTTCATGCAGCTGAAGCTCCTCCTATTTGATGACACGGACCAGGGTGTTGTCACGGCTCCAGTCTGTGTGTTTGTTTTTGTGTTTGTCTCCCTTCCACCAACAGGAGGCGCCTGGTTCTGGTCCGCCTCCTCACACACCTGCTGACGGTTACGTCGTTAACGGAGTGCTCCTAAGCTGCTGATTGCCACTACCTCTATGCCAGAGTGTTTGCCAGTTTTTGGTACTCTAGCCAAGCTGAGTTTTTTTGCTGAGTAAGACTGAGTTCTTATCTACCTGAGTTTTAACTTTGTTTTTGTCTTTGCCTCTCGGCAGGAAGTCATCCTGCAAACTGGACCTTTTCGGACCTCCACTCCCAGGAGGGATCAACTGAGCCTTAAACTGAGCCAGGGATTCAAACAGGAGGTTTGGATCCAGTCTCCTTGAGAGGACGTTGAAATTACTCTCTGTGCAAGGGAATCATCTTCACTATGACCCGTTCAAGTATAGCAGGAAATCTGAGTGGCAATCTGTTCACCTACACCGTCCGAGTTCTGGGTAAACCCTGTTCCGCCCTCCACCGAATCAGACAAACTCTGGATAACAACACACAGATTGGAGTCAAAGATCCTTCACTTCTCTGGAAACATGAGTCAACAACCAGATCCTCTTCTTCTATTCAAAAATTTTATTTCCCACTGAGCCTGAACTAATAGTCTGTCTTCCCCTCACCTTCCAGTTCCGGCTGAGCAGAGTTCAGAGCAACACGGCACCGTGCTTAATCTCTTCAATAAAACCTGTTAAACTTTTCATTTGTGTTTCTTTGTTTGGACTTCTGCATTTTGGGTCAGACCTTTAATTACATCATGACAGGTGTAAACACTGTGTATCTGAACTGCAAAGCGGTGAACTACCTGTGGTCACCACGGACACGGTCTGAACATACCATTAAAAACAAAAAAAATAAATCCGGACAAAACAAAACTGATGCTATATTTGAGGCAGAGACAGGTTAAACTGGCCAGGTTTCTTTTTATCACTTTTAGAAACAGCCCTATAAATAAATGAAGGGTGTTTAACTTCTCACAAAAAAAACTTCCAGTGGGTAGAAATGTTACGACAAACACATTTGCTCCAAACATAGCACATCCCTTTATTATCACTATATTAACTAGGTCTCACTTTACACATCTTTGAGAAGTTCTTTGTCTCTTTAAACTCCTTATTACAATATTTTTTCCCTCTTTTTGATTTGCTTCAGAATAAGCCAGTTATGATCAAATAACCCTGTTTTTGTTTGTAGTATTTTGCCTTTTCTTCATTGTGGCCATACTATACCATCCAGACTGGCAGTTTTATCTAGGCCTTATAATTCAAAGTTACGAAGCACAAATATTTGTGCACCACACAGTCCTAAAATAAAATTATTCATAAATAATTTTATATCATAAAATTACTTTTTCAGATTGCCTTGCAAATGTATGAAAGCATAAATCTTGTAAGCATTTTTGCCTCTTAAGATAAAACAGCCAGTAAGTTGTAGTCTTCTTATGAAGACAAGGTTCTTATCAGGAAACAAACACAGAGACATTTGTGAGTCAGCTTAAGTTTATTATCAGTATTAGATTATAATAATTAACAAAGAGTATATTAAAGGCCTGAATCCACTCTCTTTATCCACACCTGACAGGGAACCTATTTGGAAAGATTAAAGACTGTTATACTGCAACTCGGTGGCATAGTTTAGCCTGTTATCGCTGGGAGTTAACAGAGCACAGCTGAAATGTTTTAAAGCTGATGCATGCTAAGACTGAGATTACTGGGATCATGCTTTAGCAAACAAAACAGAGTATTATCTTGTACAAAGATTAGCTCAAAGCTATTATAGGTTAAAAATAACAGATGGGAAGTTGCAGAGGGCAGGAAATAGGAGTGCAACATTGCCATCTAACAAAACAAAACATCAAAAACATGTTTGTCATAGTTCTGTGTCCTTTTCCATTTCCCATTTGGTCTCACTATTAGGCTCTAAATTCCTTCTGACATTTTTTAGTAGAACTGACCTTTGGTCTTAGTCATAGTTTGGTCCATTGTTGTATCAGGATTATTAGACTGAACAGAGCCATTTTGCTGCTGGTCAGAAATATAACTCCCTATTGTATAATCTAAAACATTAGTGTTCTCTAGCCTGTGTGGGCTTGGCTTCTGATGGGCTGAAATATTGGATGACCGCTGTTGATAGGTAGGACTTCAAGGATCCCTTGCAGGATCGTGCTCCTTTTCTCTGTGTTGATCAGAGCCTTCATTGCTTTCTTTACAGCCTTCGTTTCCATCTTTCAGCCTGCTGTCAAACAGCTGGCACTGTCTCATTTGGCTTAATCTGGCTTGGAGCTCATTGAGGCGCTGTGATGTATAACACCTCTTCAACTCCAACAGGATCGTTCCATTTCGACTCAGACTTGGCATGTTTGTTGATGTCTCCCTCTGCAGATATAGATCATTCATATATATATATATATGCATACTAATGTCTGCTTCTATGTTATGCGTCAAGGCTGACTAGGAGCAAATTAACATAACCATGACAGAGGGATTTGTTTAAAAGATTGATACCATTCATGGCATTACAAGAAGGCAATATGCTTTTTATTTTTACAGGGTATAGCAAAATTGTTCACATTCCTTAAACCTTATCACAGTTTATTCTGTGACCTCCAATAATATCAGAATATTTTAAAGGCATTTTATGCTATAAAAAGTTGGGTGAATATAGAGTATAAGTGCAATGTGCATCTGTATTTAGCCTCTTTTACTCTGGTAGTCTTAAATAAAATCATTTGAAATTGTCTGATTTAATCTGAGAAGTTTAAAGCATGAGATTACAAACCATCATCCCAACGTTACATTATATTAGCTCATAAAGTGCTGATAGGTCATTAACGCTGGTGTAGTGCAAGAAAAAAATTTGTTTCAGAATTGAATCCCGACCCAAAGACCTTGGTAAGACGTAACACAAATAAACACCACAGATTGTGTTTAATTTGTTAAAGGGAAAAAAAAAAGAATATATATATATATATAAAACATTTCCTTTCACATTTCCAATTATGTGCTACTTAAGTTAAATTGAGAAATACTTAATTCCAAAGGGAATAAATAACTTATATATAACTTATACCTTTATAACTTAATAAAAAATACATTTAATGATTCAAAGATAACTATCACTCAAATACATTAGTTTGTTGTTGTAATGTCATCCACTGTTGTTAGTCTCAGGAATGTGAATATTTTTGCAAGTCCCTGTTTGTAATTAAAAGAAAATTTGTTACAAGATCCTTAAATTACATATACAATGAATAGATTAGAAATAATTCAGATGAAAGATAAATAATTTTGGGCTAGACACACCAAAAATCAATTAAAACAAATATTAATTCAAACAATTAATTCACTGAAAAGATACCATCTCTTCTCCAGCACTGCTCTCTGTATCCTTTAGTTTCAAGCTTATTTGAGCTCTCTCCTGCAGTTGCAGGCTTAATTGCAGGAAAGATTCACTAATACGGTCAATTTCTTCCTCTACACATGACATCTGAAGCAAAGGAAAATGGATTATGTATGTAAAGTATACAGGAAATCATGATTATTATCCTTGGTCATTTTCTTCTAATTGTTTATGACATGCAACTTTGTTACCTGCAGTGGTGTCCCATTTGGTGGTAATCCTGCAGAAATTAGACTACATGCTAATAAGTCAACATAAAAAAAAAAAAAAAAAAAAAATGCTTCATTAAATCTCTGTTGAAAGAATTAACAATTAATGCACAGAGCAGTATGGGGTTGCTTTCCAATAAAATAGTTCCTCTGTGTACTCCCACAGCACTCAATGGTAACATAGTGTACTCAGATGTTGATTCATTTGTTAAAAACAAAAGCTATTAAAGTCATTCAGGAAGTAGTAATTGACTTTCTCTCCATATGGACAATTGCTGAATGATGCTAATAGGTTAAAAGGGAAAAACAAATAAAACAACAAAGAGTCTGATAGTGCAGATGGATTTGTTAATTTGTTGATGATGTGCATTATTCTAATAGATTAATTGAACTTTATTGTTTTCTGAACAAAGGATACTAATCCAATAAATACCAGAACTGAACATGGATTGCATGCTCATGTTAAGATATAAAAATCGTTATCTTTTATTTTATTCTTTTTATTTATTTATTTAATTTTGTATGCCTTGTGTAGTGGTTCTTGAGTGGTTCATAAGTGTTAACCTAATGACCAAAATATCCAATTAATAAAATACATCATTAGTTTAACTATGTACTAATAATATATTGACTTGAACTGGCAGTGTTGATGCAAAATGTAATTGCTCAGATTTTAAACAGCAGAGCTAACTTCTCAGAGCTATTATCTGGTTAGTGGAAGCATCTTAATATATGACTTCCTGCCTTTTATGCTCTGTTTCCAATTTCTTGAAGAATTGAAGATTTTTAAAAGAGATACTCTTTGTCTACTATGACTTCCCCCTTCTTGTTAGAAAGCTAAAGAAACAGAAGGCAGACTGCAAACACTCTTTGTTGTACATTTTATACTATACTACATTGCCAGAAAAAGTTAAGAAAAATTTTACTAGTAATAGTCCTTATGCAAATTATAAAGGCATCTATACATTGAGAAAGAAATCTCTTTTTTTTTCTCCAAGTCCCCTAAAAGTATTTTATATGCATTTTTTTAATAACGTCCAAATTGGAAGAAAAGAGCAGGCTTATAAAATCATACATTGAGCACTAAAAGCTCCCATACCTGCATTTAAATCTGATCTTTGTTTGAGGTTGCAGACAAAATCCTCCAGTTTAAAATACTTGTATCTCTCTAATCTAAAACAAAAAAAAAAAGAGAAAAGTTATCATCAAATGAATATAATATCTTCTGCTGTAAGCTTTATTTTTCTCACCAACCTTCTAGCTAATTGGTACTCAGTGAAGCGCGCTTCAGAGGGAACTCTGATATTGAGAAATTGCTCCACTAATGCACTGTGCCGCCCATCTAATGCATCAAAATTAGGCTGAAAAAAGAAGCTATAAAAAGTTATCAGCCTACATTTCAAAGTCTGCAAGGATGATGAGTGAGTTTCATGTAGCTCTTAACACACCTCTGCTGAGCTCCATTTAAAGGAAAGGTTGAAAAGCTGAAGGCTTATAGTTGAAATGGCCTCATGTAGAGCTTGCAGAAACCTTTGGGGTTTGGATCCTGGATAACAACAATGAAAATTAATCATTCTGCTGCCGAAGAAGATTACATACTTTCTGCTCAAATATGATTGCACAGGCTATAATAGTATGCATGGCATTCAGGACTCTCTTGTACTTTTTTATTACCTACTGCTATGTGGGCCATGGACTGCAGAATGATAGCAATAAAGTGCCCCACATGCTGAAGCTTTGACTCTGACAGATAAAGGATTTGATTGGTTGGATCAAAATAGAAGTCCCCTGTGCAATGAGCCAAGAGATTCTCGTTATAGTGAGATGAGCAAAAGGGAACGGACTTTGCCAGTAAAAGAAGCACAGAGGGGAACATGGCGGAATCTGCAAGCAACTGCATCACATGGCAGCCAAACATGTAAACAGCTGAGTGGTGTGGAGACAGGCTATCCAGGGCAGTTGGAATTAGATTTCCATCGTGGTTCTCTTGGATATTAGGCTCCATTTCTGCCAAAAGAAAAAAAATGTATCAGAGTCTTATGTTTGGGATTATTTGACATTCCTTACCTTGCAAAAACAATCATCCCCCTTGGATTTTTCCCACCAATTTCTCATATTCAAACCCCTTTTCATTCAATAAGTTTAACTGTGCTAGGCTGACAAAAATAGTGCTTAATCCCCATACAGAAAAATAGTCTTGATGTTACTTTTTCTCCACATTTCTCCAAAAAAGACCAAGGAGATGGTGATCGACATCAGGAGAAGTCCCCCACCTCACTCCCACTAGTGAGAAAGGCCGCCTCTGTCCTAGGCTGCACTCTGGACTCAGTGGAGGAAGTGTGTGAGAGGTGGGTGCTGGTCAAGCTTATATCCATCATGGACAAAACCTTCAACCCTCTGCACCAGACTGTAGAGGAGCTGAGCAGCTCCTTTAGTGAAAGACTTAACTCCCTGTTTGTAAAAAAAAAAAGCGCTACTGCAGGTCATTAATTCCTGTTGCAACCTAACACTACAATGCAACACAACAATGGCAATAGCTTTTGCAATGTATAATGTGCAATCACTATTTATTACCCTGTGCAATAACGTGCTTCTTTATTCTTGATATCCAATGCAATAGCTATATATATAAATGTCCATCTATATAAATAACCATGTAAACACAAAAAAAAAGCAGTCAAACGTGGACGCACTGTATATATTGTATGTATCCCATCAACCTTTTTCTTCCTTTGGCACCTTCTGCTTCTCTATTTAAAGAAAATTTAAATGTCTCCACTGTGAGATCAATAAACTCAATCAATCACTTAATCAATCAATCAATCAAATAATCGGTTTAATATTTATTGGTGATCCTCTCTCCATTGACCCCTGAAAAATACAGTGTGGAGAATTTTTATCTAGCATAAGAAACTATATTCCTCGATTCAACCAACTCACAGAGCACTGATTGATCGTTGTGTATCACTGCAAACTTACCAAGGCATGGTTGACTACCTAATTAAACAGAGTGGGCAAGAAGAGAATGAATCAGGAAAGCAGAGAAGAGGCCAATGGTTACTCTAGAGTAGCTGAAGAATAGCGCATGTAAAATAAACTACTGTTAATGATGTAAACCAGAAATTCTGTCTGTATGGAAGAGTTGCAACAACAAAATGTTTAATGACAGAAAACATAAGACATTCTGTTTGCAGTTGCTGCAAGCTATGCAGGGATAGATATGAACATAAGTGCTCTGGTCAGATTTAATTGACACCTTTGGCCTAAGTGCAAAATGCAGGTTCGAAAAAATAATAACAGTGAGTAACCTTTAAGATCACCATAGTGTAGCAAGGTGGTAGCAGTATGCTTTTGCACAACAGAAACATGGAAGCTGGTCAAAGTTGAAGGGAAGATGGAAGAAGCTAAATCCAGCCCAATCTTTAAAGAAATTTTGTTAAAGGCTTGAAAGCCCTTAGAGAAGGGAATAGAAAATTAAATTATGCCCGGGCAAAAAACCCTTAACATCCCATCAGATCTTCAATGGAACAGTTAATCAAAGCATAATTATGTGTTACTAATGCCTTTCATGTAGAAATTTGCACCACCATCTTTAGGGAATTTGCAAAGAATTGCAAGAATCTGTATTCTGTAGATGTGAAAGGTAAGGGGAGATGCCTCCCCAAGAATTGGCATCTATAATTGCAGCAAAGGATGGTCTACAAACTAAAAACCTTTTTTATGTTTTGGAATTATGTACTCTTTTGTATCGGTTTACTGAATAGAATATTAATAACATGTGATGTTCAAGAGGTGACAATACTTTTGCAAGGCACTCTAAACTGTTTATTCTGAAGAAAAAGACAATGTTTTGTACTTGCGCCATTGCAGAGATTCTGATGTGACTCATCCTTGGTGAGCTGCTGTAAGGACTGCTGAATATCTTGCAGAGTTTTGAACAAAGGAGATATGGTTACCAATTTGGATAGATCGTCATCACTGAGACAAGGAGCTGTGGTCTGTTCACAGTCTATAGAACAGAGAAATATTTTTAGACACATACTAATACTTTGGAAAATAAAAACCTAAGAATGTAAAGATTTGTGTCTAACCTGTCTCATGAGAAGGAGATTCTCTTTTATTCATAGACACTGAGGAAAACTGGGGTCAAATAAAAGAGAAATACACCTTTATATTCTCAAAACTTGGTTTAAACAATTTATAAATGTTTCTAAATGTACCTGTGTAAAACACACATTGGTGTCTCCAGGATGCATATATCCAGCCTGAGCCTCACAATCTCTAGAACATGGTAAACCATGCAGATCCTGGTGTTGCCAAGATTCTCCCATCAGCTTGCATAAGAGACCATCAACTGATTTAAGAACAGCTCCCAGTAACGACACATATGCTTCAACTTGGGTGGTGGACATGCCCATTTGTAGGAAAATAAACAGATAACAAACATTTCATAAATTCAATGTATAAATTTAGCAAAATTTTTGTTAGTACATTTCACTAAACTGGTCAAAATGATTAGATAAGAATGATTTAGAGCATTAAATCTGAAGAAAAATAAATAAAAAACACACCTCTTAATATCACTAACACCCAATAAGTACCAAAGACAGACTTGCAAAACAGACCTCAGCACGATGCTGCCCATCTATGTTTGATAGGTTTTAAGCATACAGTATGTAACCTTAATGTTAAAGCCTAATCTTGACTCCTCTAAACATACCCCTTGTTACTGATGCAAACTGATTCTATAACTTTTTTTTTCAAAACACATTTAGTTAATCTAATTGGAAAACTATACATATTGGTTGAGCTGTTGGTGCTTATTTGAAACAGGGCCTCCTTCCTGGTTGGCACCTTGACAGTTCATTAAAATGTAAAACTTATATCACTGGGAAATGGTGGACAAACATCTTCCATGACCACCATGCTCTTAAAGAACAGAACTATAATTAGAGTCAGGAGTTAGGAAGTTAACCAATTTGGTTCTATTCAATCTTTTCTGATAGGACAAGAGCCAGGACTTTAGAATTTGGGGCCAAAAAATTTATCTTTAAATTGCTAAGACACATTAAATGAAGTTTGAGTTGAAGGATATTCCAAGTATTGATCCTGTAAGTATAATCTTGACTGTATGTGGATTAGATACAAGCCACAATGAATTCAAAATGTTTCTTCATGGTTTTTTGTTTTTTTTTTGTGTGTTAAAACCTTGTCTTAGAAAGAAAATGTTGAAATCAATCATTATAAGACCAATAAAAATGTTGCTAATGAGAGATTTAACTATGTGACTAGAGCTAGAATAGAAGAGAATAGAAAGTCCATTTATTGTCCCAAAATGGTGACTTGTATCTTATGTTGACCTAGTGGCCAGTTTAAATGATGCATTAGATGGAACAACAAATGAATATTACAAATTTAATTTGCCATTCATCAGATTAATTCTTATAGTTAGAAGACCAACTGTAATAGACAGGAATTTGATGATAATAGATTATATCTTTCGATCCAACTTTTATTATCTGTTAGATTTATGTCTTGATGTTTAATAATAATAAAAGCTCATCTTAAAAGATTCCCTCTAGGAGGTTTTCAGATAATATTAATATTTTTTTAGCCTGTAGTCACACGCAGACCACTCGATGAGCCATTACAGTAAAGCCGAAGAGTGTGCCATTATCGCTCACAACAGATGGTTGTGAATGCTGTCTTATGTGCTGTCTTAAGTGTTGTTCATATTTTTTGCAAGAAGAGTGCACATGTTTTAATGCAACAACCACTACTGCAGTATAAAGTGTCAGCAAACAATTTATTCTTCTCTGTTATCCATCAAGTATGAAATGTAATGACAAATTACATAGCGAAAAGATCATCTTTTTCTTCTTCTTTTGAAGTATAATAGAGATTTTAAAAAGCTGCACTAAAGTTGCACCAAGACATACAATATGTATCTTAATTGAATAAACCAACATAATGGGAATAATGAGTTTAATTGCTGGCTTCTCTATATGTGTCCCACTGCTTTTATAAATGCAAATTATGTCTCTCTTTGTTGATAAAGTAACATGTTTTTATTTTTTATTTTTATTAAAAGCTAGTACATATATTCTTACCTTGCTTGTCACTCTCTCCAATGTAAGTGTGCAACGGTCTGGCGTTCATCGCATTGTGGCCAAGCATCTCTTTAAGGGCACTTAGGTTTTTATAATCCATATTTTCAAAGACATCCTTAAATAATAATGCAGTTTGTTTTATTTTTTTTCTATATATCCTTAATGCTGACTAACCTATTTGAGTAAAAACACAAACAAGTGAATAAACCTTCAGTGATTCAGCCTGATTGCAGATACTCCTATAAAATTCCTGCATGTCTTTGCGATGTCTGGCCAGCTGGGCGGCGATGTGAAGGTTCTGGTCTTCTAGTTTGTCAAAAAGAGTCTTCACATTGAACTCCTCCAGATCAAAGCAGCCTGGCACGCTTCCTAAATGTGATAATTAAACGTCAGTCATCGAGAGATTATCTTCTTGGTGCATGGCTGCACTTTGAAGTAAAAACTTTCCTTAATTTGACCACATGTCATTTCACTGAGCTCCCTCTCTCCTTAAATAAATGATATCAGCAAAAGTCATTACAGTCCAATATTACGTATTATTTTCTCTACCGTGTGTCTAATTCAGAAATACGCTGTTAACTAGAAGCTGTCATGCAGAATGAACTCATAATAACCAGCCCATTTAAATATCCTATAAAGCTGAATGAATATTACTCACTAGCTGAGCAACATTAGGGCCAGTACTACTATCAGTCAACGAGCACACTACCAAACAATTACAAATGCAGTGAAAAATAAATAAGTTGGAAAAGTTATAGAAAAGTGTTTCTGAAGATGCTCTGTTTCTTAAAGAAATACAATTTAATTTACTTGGTCAACTCTTTCATTTTCTCCTTCTTTATCAAACACTATTCTGTATGTTAAATCTATTTAGTTTTGGAACAAAAAGTTGCAGAAAAATGAGACAAACAAAAATTTTACCTCCCTTCAATACTGCAGGCTCCTCGGCTTCTGCTCCCTCACCTACACCACGGCTACCAAGAACGCCACCTTGACTCTGGACTGTTATACTAAAACACATGAATAAAGGAAAGCAGCCTTTTTGAAAATAGCATGTTTAATATCTCTAAAAGACAATTCAGATGTTTTCAGCCATGTTTTGGAGTGATATATTGAAAGTCTTTATTTCTATTAATTTTAATAAATATGGCTTAGAGTTTATTAAAAAGAAAAGAAAGCATTTTATCATTTTCCAAGATAAAAAAAACAGCATATCAATAGGGAAAAGTGTAGTTCAGGTGTAGATATAAATAAAGCAAGAATTGAGTGAATTTACTGTTCAATACTATAGCTACAAATTACTTATTTATAGTCCCACATTTTTTTTTGCATTAATTTATTTAATATGTTTAAGTTTTCACTTATTGTAATCGTAATGCTTATGTCCTCAAGATTATGTACAACCCAAATTCAATCGAAGTGAAAATTACAACACTTATAAATATTAAAACATGTCTAACACCCTAATAATTTAATTAATTGTCTAAAAATAGTTCAATGATTAGGGTATTCCTCTTTCTTTACTGGCATAAAATATGTTGGATTTATAACCCCAAAGAGACAATATGAAGTATTGTTGAGCGGTAGATGAGACACTGGAATCAAGAAAAACACTAACTTTGCAAACTCATCAGCAAAAATAAATACTTGAAATATATCCCTGAGAGTAATAAATATACCCTTTTGAATTGAATTGTCATTGTATCACTGTGAATAATGTAAAGTCAAGTAAAACCCTATGCAAATGCTAAATAGTTTAGTCTTATTAAACCCTGTTAATCAATTTCCATTTTATACATTCAGAGAGCAAAGCAGAGACTTATTAGTATGGAACAAGGTAAGGGGAACTGTGATAAGTTTCCTCACACTAGGAAGGAAATCAGCCTGTCCAGAAGCAGTTAACACAAAGTAATCAGCTAAAGGGACTCATCAGTAATTGTGTTTGTTGGCAAAAAAAAAAGCTTATATCAAGCACTTTGTTCCCCCCAGCTGATCAAATAAGTCAACCTCCATAGGTTTCTAACCACCCTTTTGTTATGGATATAATCACATAATAAACTAGGATTAATATGTGAAATATCCGGTCTTAATCTATAATTAGGAACCAACACATTTTTTTTTTACTGAAATTTAAATGAAGCACAAACAAAAAAATTCTGCATTATTTCTTATTGATTAGCTGGAGGGGTAACAGCATGTCAATAGAAGTGGGCATTTGATGATAAGTCAAAAGAAAAATGGCTCCTTGAGATTAACTGCCCCCCAGCAAGCCATTTAGAAACTGGTTTACCACATGCAGGTCTATGTTTCTCATCTCACTATTGACAGTTAAAAAATATATTAAACTATAACTATATGATTCTAAACTACAAAATTGAAATCCTATATTATTGAGGTATGTTCTTCCATACACAGAAAAATAAATATATTTTTTCCCTCCAGTTTTAAGGTGAAACATAAGGCTTTAGTTGCAGTATACCTTTCTAAGTATGGCAACATTCATATATTATATATTCACATAGTTAAGAGAGTAAATTATTATAATTTTTTTAAGTATTACTTTTTTTTTACATTAACAAACCTTTCTCTGCTGCAAACACACTCGGCTGGGCAAAAGGGCTCTCCAAGGCTTCGCCACTTTGGTTTTATCTTCCAGTGGGGGGCGAACTTTGCGTTGCTGGGTCGTAGAACCAGCATGGTTGTGGTCAGGACTACAACTAGGACCAACAGAAGGCTCAGGATCCCTGCACACAGTTAGTGTTCATTTATAGGGAAATATGTTAGGTAAGCATACAAACCCCATTAATCATACTGAAGGGAATCTTGAAAACATATGAACAACTTGCCAGTAATGAGTCCCCAGTCAGGCAGAAGGTTTAGCTGGTGATGTTTTACAATCCCATATTTGACCAAGTGTGCTGGAGTCATAGGTTGAAACGTAGCTGCCCTGGTGTCACATTCTGTCCCTTCCTCACTGACCACCACAACCATGCTCCATTGAGGGACAACACTGTCCACAAACACATACTTTCCCGCTTCTGAAAAAACATGGGCAAACCTGAGGAGAGCCCCAGAAAGGAGATAAGATTTTAATTTAGATTACATTTTGTTATATTTCGTGTGGAGTCAACATTACATTGAGGAGTTAAAATGTGTTTGCTTCATCAGGATCTGCAGATGTCTGAAGGCTCCAAAGTCCCAGCTTGGGTTACTGTTGAACAGGTGGTCCTTATGGTACACTGGGAAGTGGCTGAGACGGCGGTCTACAGATAAAAAAAGTTAGAATAACAGGAACATAGCTAAAATAAAAAACAAATGAATGCCACTATGATGCCAAATGGATAAAAGCAAAATACCAGTATGGTTGATGGTTAGATGAAAAATTAGCATGTCACCAGAGGAAAGGCAGGATATGGGATTTTGGATTCGAGGTAGGGCATCAGCATTATTCTCATCATAATCCTCTTCAGTGTCTCTCCTTTTTCTAGATCTTGCATTTAAGATAGAATCTGGTTCTGAGAAGAGATACTTGATGAATTTTGGAAGTTCAACATATTTATCATTATGAGATAAATAAGAAGAGTTGAGTGTAGGCTTTGGAAGAAAAATACAGATCCTTTCAAAGGTCATCCATTATGAACATAAATAGGCTTTTTATTTAAATATTCAAACAACTCTTTTTCCAGAGTGGAATAATTATGAATCAAAAACTTCTATGATTTGTTAGGACAGGATCCGGTTGCAGAAGTTTGCATTACAGCATTTGTTATATAAGTAGATGCTTTAATATTTTCATAGGTTCCTGATATAATGGAGTAAAAAGCCCTTTTGCAAACTCTGTTACATCCCTTTTTTTTTGACTGATATATATATATATATATTTTCTTTTAAATGGCTTGGCTTTAAGCATTGATTAGAGATTTTCTTAATGAGTCAGAAAATCCATCCTTGAGGCTTATCAGCCTGCTTTAGCCTTTATAAAAACTCTGTGTCTAGGATAACAATCCTCTAACCAAAATAAAAAAAGGAATTAAGCAAGACAAAAAAATAACTACATCGACACACTGAAGAGAATGGCTAAAGTTGATAAAGATTTCATATTTCATAAAGCTTTCTACCAGCTTTTTCTAACAGTTTTACTGTACATTGCATAAATAAAATTGCATAAAATGAAGGAATGGTACACATGAAAAAGAGCTGTTAAATTATTTGTGTTAACTTCAGATGTACAGCTAGATCCTTAAGATTTGGATACAAAGGTTTTGATCCACCAGGATTTAATTCCACCAGGATTTGATTCCAAACATACCTCAAAGTGCTTTGTAAGGGATCGAGCAGCCTAAGATTATTCCATTGTATACTTTGATCTATCCATCTACAGTAGAATGCCTTTCGGGAGAACGAATGGTGGGTCATTTATCTGCATCTTACTTAAAATGAGCTTAGGAGGATGGGCCTCCAGGTGCCTAGAAACATCAAGACTCCAACTAAAGGTTGCTCCAATGCAAGCCGTCAGAACTCACAAAGACTCCTGCATAGGGGATGTAACAGAAAAAATGAGCCAACCTGGTTGCTTCCAATTTAAGCTTTTGTTTGTCATTACCATGACGAAGATGACGAAACAGTTGCACATGCAAATAATTTAGATTTCAATTAATTAAGAAACATTATAAAAATGTTATTTACATAAAACATATCAAAGCTCAGATATGATAAGTATTTTGATAAACTCTTTTGAGCAGGAGTTGTTACTTCAAAAATAGTTTCAATTCCACCTCCCTTATGAGAAAATTGGTAGTGATGCCAAAAAAGGAAAGTCGAAGAAAATCTGAAGGAAGCTATTGGAGGTGTGGAAGTAAAAACATGCTATTTAACAGTTGTTTAGGCTAGGTTTATTTTAACAAGGACACTTCACTTTTCTTCCTACAAAAGAATGAAACCATTTAAAATGCAGTGAGATATTAAAAGAATGCTTTACACTATAGGAGTGTTTTACATATGCTTAACTGTAAGGAAATCATTTGCTGAAGTCTGATTGACTGGCAGAGGGTTTGTATGAAGGAACATAAATCAACTGTGGCTTTGCATGTGTAAGCTTAGTTAAAAAACTCTGCATAAAAAGCCATGAGTTAATATGACACTGTGACCATGAATTTCATAATACTGTTCCACTATTGTAAAATTTTACTTTCAATAAAACTATAGGATGTTGGTGTTTGTGTTATATTTTACATCTCATAAAAATTAGGAAAAATACTTAACTAAAGAATACGCCAGAACACTGCAGAACTGCATGAGGACAATTGCCATTTAACCTTTAATCTAACCTTTAACTGTAAGCAAAAACATTGACAAACTCTGCTGACGCTGACTGGTAGAGTTATTAAATTTACATCCAGAATTATGAGTAGGTATATTAATATACTCACTCTGTATAATAAATGTGACTCTAACAATACAGTCCAGTTTATCCATATATTGATTTTAATTTTTTTTTTAAATAACAGAAACTCCTTTCCTTTTTTGTTAGCAGCGTTTCGGGAAGGAACTTTCCTAAAATTATTACAGTTTTGCCAATGATAGGTGAATCTAAGCATCCCACTGATCCAATACTCACCTGAAAGGAAAAGATTAACAATGTCTCCATTAAGTGGAATCCAACCAAAGACACCTTCAGATGTAAACTGCATCAAATGTACTTTTCCAGATGTCTGTGCATGGATATCTGGGCCTAAAACATTTGTCACTGTCTGAAAATAGAGGAAAGAAACTGATAAACCAATGGCACTGCAACAATCTGCCATACTTTTCTTGAACAGAAATAATGTTGTAAACATTTTTGTTTTAACAAATAAAAATCACTAAATCATTTAATTTTTAAAACCTTTTTAAATTCCATTTCTAAAACAATGTTGCACTATAATGCATTGTTCTATATTGATATAAAAACGATATTCCTCATTTTGTGAAGGTTAGTACAAAAATTGACCATAGCCCATTGCCATTTCGTTTTGTTAGTTCCCCCAGAATGTAGTAGAAAAAAATAGATTACTGTTTACGTTTTTATAATTGAAGATAAGAAGGGAGAGCAGGAAGAACATAAGTAATTTCCATAATTAAGTAGAAGAACTAACTACTATGTGTTACTATGGCAACTCAGTGCCAACTTATTCTTGTCTTTATCTGTGGATTATTGATGGGTTTGTTTTTTTTTGTTTGGTATATCCTTTTTTTCCCTCTGTCTTTGTTTTTTCCCTGACTACTTTATGCATTTGGATCCACAAACTTATTTGTGTGCTTAGTAAACATTTTTAATAAGACTCTATATTTATTTCTAAATTGAACTAATTTTACCTTACCAAAATACGTGCATATTCATACTGACTGAGGTATCAATCACACACTCAGACTTAGAAACTATTTTGTGTAGTAAATAAACAAATTGTGTTGTTTTTGTCAGAACAAATGCTTATTAACTGGAAATGCAATGCAGCTGGAGCAATTTTCCATCTATTCTGTTAAGAGTCTGGAAAGTTTATTTAGGTAATAATAATACAGTCTGAGCTCCATATTTATAATCCTGGTAGTCCATTGTGTCTGTTTTATTCACATCTAGCAGTTTTCACATCTGCACATGCAACAGTTTGCAAATGGTAAATAACTGATTATGATGGGATAATCCGCTGTGATTTAAATCTGCAGCTGATCATCATTCTGTCATTGACTCTATCAGCTTCCTCTCACCATTTTCCAGACTCTGTTGTTTTGTTCTCTAAGGCTCATATGCAAGTCTCCATCCGGCATGAGCTTGGCAGACAGCTGAGGAAGCCTGAAAAGGCAGGAGGTATTGCAAATCTCCTCTGCAGACACATATCGCTCACACAGACAACTGGGACACCAGGAGAGGGGATAGGAGACAAGGCATATCAGACATACTGAGCTAAAAAATACAGTCGAGGTCTCTACGCTGAGATAAGTTTTGAACGGCAATTTACATCGGTAATGTATCAGGGAAAAATAAATAAATAATGAGACTAACATGCCCATCTCTACATCCAGAGTGCCTCCATGTAATCCACAGGTTATATTACAGGAGTGGAGGGATGGTGAGACACACCCCCTGGAGGCTGCTAATCGTACTTCTCCTGTACTACATCGTCTGTTCACCTAGGAAACACAAAACCAAAAGACGCTAACATCAGAGCAGTCTTCAAACACAATGATGTTGCTGATTGTTGCATCACTGCCACCTTTAGATATGCACCAGCCAACCTTTAGACACCAAAAAAATCAGTTTTGATGCAAGTATTCAGGTCAAAAAAATATTCTTTAAACCTTTTCTTCACTGACCTCAGGCTGGCAGTCCAATTTACTGTCAGAAGTAGAACTTTTAAAGTCCAGCTCATTGTAGTAGATAAAACCAGTTCTGCATAAACAGGACCCATCAGAATACTGGAAGGCTCGATTCTTCCCAGTGCAGGTACATGAGGAAGACCCTGCAATCATTATTTTGCAATACATAAAGTTGTTTTGGAAAAACAATAACTACTTATTAGTTTTGACTTGTTACTCAAAATTTCATCATGTCATGGTTTTTCCTTTTATTACCTGTCAACAAATTGATTTTATGTCTGTGTTTAGGAAATTAATGTTTAACTTATATTGTGTTGGGCTTCCTTTTGTGTTGGTTCTTTTTCTGTATTATTCCGTGGAAAGGTTGGCTCTGCTCTAGAATTTAACCTCTGGGCAGAGGGCCTCCCTTATAGCGTGATGGCTCATTAAGCATGCCAGCTAGTTGTCTGTTTTTATCTTGTTTAAAGAAATTTAAGATCAAAAATAAGAGAAGGAAGAACAATTTATGATATAATGATCAATAGTTCTGTAATTTCACAGAGATTCCTGCAGTAGTTAACTATGAAATATAAACAATTTACCTTTATAGTTTAACCCTCTAAACACTGAATTATAACTTTTTCATTCCCTGAACCTTAAATGATAAAACTTGATATTTAAGGAATAAGGTTTATACTTAACAACCAGTTTTTATTTTATTTTATGTATTTTGTATTTGTGGTATCTAACCAGGTAATGAGGTGGATGAACTGCCACATGGAAAGCAGGCCCTCTGAGCAGGCAGGTGATTGAAGGTGTTGGCAGGACAAGGGTGACAGTCGTCCGTGTCCTCTGCATGAGTCAGGTTACCAAAAGTGCCAGGTGGGCAGGGCTTTGGCTGGGTGTATCCTTTTCCACAGAAATATCCACGAGGGCAGGGATTGCTGTTATAATTTTCTGTGCCTTGTTAAAGTTGCACAACAAAAAATAGATAAATATTGTAAATTTAAAGGGCAATATGGAATTAGTTTTCTCAGTACCTTGGGGGCAGTAGTATCCCTGTGGACATGGAGCGCACTGCAGACTTGTGGAAAGGTATGGACGATAAGTTCCACCTCCACACAAGCTACAGCTATTGTTTGGTCCTCTGAGGCCGCTGGTACTGACAGGCATGGATCCTCCAGGACAGGATTTCATTGTAGAGCTGTTGGCAGGGCAATAGTAGGGAAATGGGCATCTGTGGAGTTATGGAACAGGGTTATTTACAAAATGTGCAGAATCTGCTATAAAGATCACATTTCAATAGGCAAAGCTTCTTCTTAATAAAACGTCACATAATGCATTTGGATCTAACTACACTCTTCAGCTTGTTACTCACTTTTGTTTAGGGTTGTCATATGAATATGATCCCTCAGGGCAAATATAACCTTCTGGACATATCTGAGGCTCAGCAGTCTGAGGTCCACAGTACGAGCCAGCTCTGCATAACATCTCTGAAACCGCTCCTGTGGTAGAGTCAAATACTCTCCACATGCACATCTGGATGTGGTTGGAAATTAAATATTCAAAAAGATACCTACCGATGGGGCACTGATATGAGGCCCTGCAGGGGGTTCCTTCCAGGTTGGGCTTTCCTGTAATGTGAGGGTCAGGGCAGAAGGTTCCCCCTGCACAGGGTTCACACTGGTTGGGTGTAGCAGCTCCAGGAAACAGTCTCCTGGTCCCTGCTGGGCAGAAGATGGGTGGTCCAGTCCCACTGCACCAGAAGCCAGGTGGACAGGGACTGCTGGTATACTCTGTGAGTCCTAGAAAATCCCAAAGCTTTTTTTATTTAATATTTTACTCACATTAAACCAATTAAGCAATCAAAGCAGAAAAAACTGTGTTTTTAAACTGCTTAAGGGAACTAAATGATCTTCAGTGATTTTTATCAGTGATATTTAGTTATATTGTTAACAGTTTAATTTTCCAATTCCAACTAATGAAGTAACACATAAATTGTCATAGATAAGCATTTACCCTGTCACAAATTTCTTCTTCTCTTTTTTCTTTTTTTCTTGATTTTTGTCATACACCTAACATTTATAAGAGAAATATGCAAAACTATGGCTAATGTTATATTTGGCTCTTTGATTTCCTTCTGGAATCAACAAACTTGATTTGAGAGAAGGACTCCTAAAACATTTGACTGACCGGTAAATTTGAAACAATGAAGAAAAAAAATCTATTTAGGTTAAACTCCTGAAGGTAAAAATAAATCTGCAGCATCATCATCCTCACAGATTCAGCAGCACTTCAAATGAAGTGATGAATGCCTCAGGGTTCAGACTAAAAAATATGATTGTATCAAGCCTGAAGTTCTTTACTGTAGTTGATGTTATTTAAAACGGAGGTCTTTTCAAATCAGAAGAGGAATAGGGAGGGAAACTATCTGCTGAGCATTATTCATTAGCTGGAATTACAATAGGGCTCAATTTCAAGCCTGGAGCTTTTTAAAAAGGGATTAGGAAGTACTTTTTCTTTGGAACTCCACAACTCAATTATTTCTCTGTGGCCTCAAGTGACCAGTTTTAAATTCAGAGCTTTTCCTCACATTGTATTCTTTAACTCTTAATCAAGGAAGTGGCACAGAAAAAAATTTATAGGTAGCACATGAATACAAATGATAATTTGCTCTGAATTTATTTAAACTATAAAAGTTACAATTTAAGCCCACTGGAGTAGGGCTTCAATTCAAAGTGGGTTTTATGCATTATTACAATTTAAAAAAGAAGGGGGGTGTATAAGTAAGGTAAAATATCAAAGCCATTCATATAAAAACCATGGCTTTGATTTAAACTTTTAATAAATTATCTGTTGGAAAGCTTTTTTATAGCACCTGTTCTATTGCAGTGTGAACCTTGAGGACAGGGGCGGCAATCACCCTTGCTTCCCGCTCCTGGGGAAGCTCGAAAAGTGAACATAGGACATGGCCGGGGTCCAGTACCACCACTGAAGTCAATTCCAGGCAGACCATCACAGTAATGACCAGCTGGACACAGATGAAGTACTGGGTCTCCTGCGATCAAAGAAACCCTGGACATTAGTGATTTTTTTAAAAAGACTTTAATTATTTTTTTTCCGCTTTAATTGCTCTAATATCCGTTACAATTAGTCTGTACAATTCTTGTAACTTAACAAATTCCACTGAAAGGTACACAATTATTGCTGTGGATGAAACAAAAGCAAAAAAGTTGCACACCTGTGTTGGGCAGTGTATTCAGCCTCCATTAATCTCACACCCCTAAATTAGGTGCAATCAATTGTCTTCAGATGTCAAAGAAAATGGTCCACCTGTGTGTTATTTTATAGCCTATCATTAAAGATGGAGAAGTACTGTAAATGTCTAAACAGTTTGATAGAGACCATTAGTAAACAAATAGCACCATTAAGACTCAGAAACACAGCAGACATGTCTGGTATAAAGTTGTGGTCAGGTTAAAGCATATGTTGAGGATCAAATCTCAATCATATAAGCAGTCCACCTGGCGCCACATCGACAGCGTGTGCTTAAGCAGCCAATTCAAAGCCCATGGTCTCTTTAGTCAGAATAGCTCAGTCAAAATTTCCTGAATTCAATAAATATGCTTGAAAAACTGTGCAAAGAAGAATAATCAGCTACTACTTGTTCTTGTTTGTGACAAACATTTTAGACATATTTAAAATGACTTGAGGCTACACAGCTGTAACACAATGCAGTGAGGCTAAATATAAATGCACATTACAGTTTTCCAATCAAATTTCTTAGAGGAATCAGAAAAGCATGTATTCTTTTTTATTCACTTTAAATAAATGCACTTCCAGCTATAAGATGACCACATTAAACCCCAAGTGCCCCAGTGTTATATAATTTGCAGTTGTAATCTAAAAAAGTTGAAGTATGAATCTGTGTGAGCACCCACCAGCTTTGCACCAATACTCTGGTGGGCAGGGTGAACAGTCCTTTAGACTCATCGCCCCAGAGGAACTGCTGACTGTGTTTGCAGGACATGGATGAGCTTGTTCTGTACCTTGAGGACAATAAAAGCCTAAAAAGAAAAAATAGTTTTCAGACAAACAATACATAAATGATTCGAATTACGAATAAACATTTTTAAGAACCAAAAGGATCTTAACAGATTACAGTTCTATATATTGTTTCTGCTGGTGTTTAAAAAAAAAATATGCTTAGTACCTGGTGGACACAGGCCTGCACACTGCACGCCCCACTCACAGTGGGTCGTGTTATACGTTGATCCCTGAGGGGTGAAATCTACACTTCCAGAAATGCATAAATATCCTGCAGCACAATCACCCTGGATCTTACCAGCCCTGTGAAAACAGAATTTGTTAAAAATATGAAACTGTGGCAGCCAGTAAAATTTGTGTTTGGATTATATAGAAAAGTAACATTTTATTTTTGCACTGTATCATTTAATCAGGTATAACAACAATGCATAATTAGGACATTTATTTATTCATTTAAACTTCTCCATATGATATGGCAGGTATCTTAAACTTTTTGATTTTACATGACTAAAAATCAAAATGGGGGTTTCGTACTTGCCTTCAAGCAAGTGTGCAAGTGTGCAAGTGTGCATGGGTTGTGCCAGATGGTGTGAGCACATTAAAGTTCTACAGGTGCTGGTCATAAAATTAGAATATCATGAAAAAGTTGATTGATTTCAGTAATTCCATTTAAAAAGTGAAACTTGTATATTATATTCATACATTACATACAAACTCATATATTTCAGATGTTTATTTTGTTTAATTTTGATGATTACAAATGACAACAAATGAAAATCTCAAATTCATCATATCAGAAAATTAGAATATTGTGAAAAGGTTCAAAATTGATGGCCCCTGGTGCCACACTCTAATCAGCTAATTAACTCAAACCACCTGCAAAAGCCTTTAAATGGTCTTTCAGTCTAGTTCTATAGGCTACACAATCATGGGGAAGACTGCTGACTTGACAGTTGTCCAAAAGACGACCATCGACACCTTGCACAAGGAGGGCAAGAAACAAAAGGTCATCGCTAAAGAGGCTGGCTGTTCACAGAGCTCAGTGTCCAAGCACATTAATAGAGAGGCGAAGGGAAGGAAAAGATGTGGTCGAAAAAAGTGTACAAGCAAGAGAGATAACCGCACCCTGGAGAGGATTGTGAAACAAAACCCCTTCAAAAATGTGGGGGAGATTCACAAAGAGTGGACTGCAGCTGGAGTGAGTGCTTCAAGAACCACCACACACAGACGTATGAAAGACATGGGTTTCTGCTGTCGCATTCCTTGTGTCAAGCCACTCTTGAACCACAGACAGCGTCAGAAGCGTCTTGCCTGGGCTAAAGAGAAACAGGACTGGACTGCTGGTGAGTGGTCCAAAGTCATGTTCTCTGATGAAAGTAAATTTTGCATTTCCTTTGGAAATCAAGGTCCCAGAGTCTGGAGGAAAAGAAGAGAGGCACTTCATCCACGTTGCTTGAAGTCCAGTGTAAAGTTTCCACAGTCAGTGATGGTTTGGGGTGCCATGTCATCTGCTGGTGTTGGTCCATTGTGTTTTCTGAGGTCCAGGGTCAACGCAGCCACATACCAGGAAGTTTTAGAGCACTTCATGCTTCCTGCAGCTGACCAACTTTTTGGAGATGCAGATTTCATTTTCCAACAGGACTTGGCACCTGCACACAGTGCCAAAGCTACCAGTACCTGGTTGAAGGACCATGGTATCCCTGTTCTTAATTGGCCAGCAAACTCTCCTGACCTTAACCCCATAGAAAATCTATGGGGTATTGTGAAGAAGAAGATGCAATACACCAGACCCAACAATTCAGAAGAGCTAAAAGCCACTATTAGAGCAACCTGGGCTATCATAACACCTGAGCAGTGCCACAGACTGATCGACTCCATGCCACGCCGCATTGCTGCAGTAATACAGGCCAAAGGAGGCCCAACTAAATACTGAGTGCTGTACATGCTCATACTTTTCATGTTCATACTTTTCAGTTGGCCAACATTTCTATAAATCCTTTGTTTTTATTGGTCTTCAGTAATATTCTAATTTTCTGATATGATGAATTTGAGATTTTCATTTGTTGTCATTTGTAATCATCAAAATTAAACAAAATAAACATCTGAAATATATGAGTTTGTATGTAATGTATGAATATAATATACAAGTTTCACTTTTTAAATGGAATTACTGAAATCAATCTACTTTTTCATGATATTCTAATTTTATGACCAGCACCTGTATATATACATGACAGAAAGACATGTGCAAAGCTAGTTCTTACATACAAGCACCAGCTGTTGGATCATTCTAGAGTACCTGCAGTACCTCCCTGGAGGGCAGGGCAAACACTCCTTCTCTTCCTGCAACCCACTCTGGTTTGAATGGGTGTATGTCCCATCAGGGCAGGGGTGGGGAACCATGGTCCCTAAAGAAAAAAGTAACAGAGGAAAATAACAAAAACTATCACTCAAATTTCAAACTTTTTAGAGCTTACCTGCAGGGCAAAATGAGTGTGGAGGGCAGGGCCAGGGGTCGCCCACTATGGCTTCTTCACAGAAGAATCCAGGGCGGCATGGGATGCAGTTCTCTGAGCCCGGGTTTGGTTGGTATTCTCCGGTTGGACATGGCAAGGCCATTGCAGATCCTTCAGGACAGAAGTGACCCTAAGATGGAAATGAGAATAAAAGAGATATCAGACGGGAGTCAACTAATCTGTCAGGACATTATTAATTAACGATGCTGCATAGGGAAATTTTGAAAAACAGAGAAAAGTGAAAAAAAATGAAAAAAGGAAAAGAAGAAGTGTACACAAATAAACATACCTTAGGACAAAGAAAGGCATATGGAGTGGTTGAGGAGAAGTCAAATGGACAGTAAAAACCAGCAGAGCATGGGCCACTAGGACTAGCCAGGCCCTCAGAAGAGCAATAGTGGCCAGCAGGACAGGCAATGCAGCTTTCCATGGAAACACCTCCTACAGTCAGAACAAAATCCTTGATGTACTGCACATATTGGTTCAAAACAGATGTCATCAGCTCTCCCAGAGCTTTTTTTAACAGGCTGATAGTGATTTCATCAGGTTTGTCGTGTTAAGGCAATACAGAGAAGAACAGAGAAATGTGTTATCTCTCTCCCATGGCTGCAAGAACAGAAACGGCTATCTTTAATGGTTTTGAAGATGTTGCAATTTATTTTTCACCCTTAATCTGAGGAGACCTCTCAATAAGTGAACATATGCAGATCTTCCAGACTTACTGTGGACGTCCATACTACCTATTGTTTTGTGGCTCTCCATGCTTTGCCTGTAACTAAACATGTTTAATGATCCCTGACCTCCTGATGTTAAAGTTGGTTAAATATAAAACATACCTTTCCTCAAAAAGTTTTATCAATCTACATGTAGACATATGTAAATCCATGTATCAATGTTCTCTGTCAATAGGAAGGTATTGGACTATCAAATGAAATACTAATACAATACAATAAAAAAATGTGTTTATATAGTAACAGAATTTTGGAAAAGCTCCAGGACAATAAATAAAATACATATGAAAGGCACTTAAAATGAGGATGTATCCAACAAACTAGTACCAGTTGAATTGCGGACACTTCCAGCAGGGCATTGAACTGGGGTTATGGACCCTGCTGGGCAATAGTGCCCGACAGGACAGGGTCCATTCTTTGGGAAGGTTTCAGAGCTGTCAGGTGTTGGCCCTGTAGCTCCACCTTGGCAAAAGTAGCCCTGCAAACATGGACCTACAAAAAACCCATCAACACTATTAGTTTGATTAACTCAAGTGACTTAAAGCTGCAGTCTGTAACATTGAGGAGAGAGCAGACTTCGACTGAAAATTTGAAGGAAAACAGGTTTCACTCCACTCCCCCACCCTCTCTGCTTCACTCATGCCCCACCTCCAAGCTCCACCCCTCTCACAGCATCTGCCCGGCTACCGCATGCAACCAGAAGGGGGGGGGGGGGATTCAGCGTGTGTGAGCTGTGATTGACACTCCATCAGACGCTCCTCTGGCTGTGATTGGTTGTTTTGACTCGTCCCGAATTATTCTTTCTAGATTGAAATACAGGCAGTAGGCGGTACCAATTGAAGCAGTTTTACATATTACACAGGTTACATATCACATGTACTGCTGTCTGGGCATAGGGACAGTTTTAGCCAATATGACAAAAAAGTGATTTTTAAAAACTTACAGACTTCAGCTTTAAGCATGATTATACTTTAGTTTTAACTTGGAATGACATCAGTGAACATCTTAGTTTGTGCTTTTACCTTGCGGAGTAGAGGCTCCATATGAGCTACAGTACTCTCCAGAAGGACATGGCAAGCAGGCAGAGAGAGAATAAGCTCCTGTTTGGTTATTGAAAGTACCTCTAGGGCATGCCTCAGGCAGCCCTGTCCCAGCAGGGCAGAAATGGCCTTAGAATGGAAGAAAATATTTATTGCTGGCAGATTAGTAAAACCTGGATGGCAAAACATAACACAGCTGGACAAAAATGAGTAAACAGCTGCAACTATAATGCTGCATCTATAATAATTTATTATGTCCACACCAGTTGGACAGGTAGACGGCTCTTGAGTAGCTGAAGAAGGACACATGGTTCCTTTCAGGCAGAGCTTGCATTGAGCAGCACCGGGGGCGGGACTGTAAGTTCCAGCCTCACAGGGCATTTCACTCACTGCACCAACAGGACAGCTGTGTCCAGCAGGGCAGATGTAGCCATGAGAGCCTTCGGATGGAGTGGGACTGGAGCTTCCTCTCAAACACACATAACTGTAGGCAAGAAAAGAAATATCATATCAAATAAACAATTACAGGACACATAAGAAGAGGCAAAGGCTGACAGTGTGTCATGGTTTTTGTTCAGTTTAAGTTTTCTTTTTGAGTTTTCATTGGTCGTTTTGTGTTGTTCTAGTTGTATAGTTTTTGGTTGTATTTGGGTCAGTCTCCTTCTCCTAGCTCCCTCTATATTCTTGTGTCCACACCTGCTCTCAGTCTGATGATTAGCTTAGTCTTTGTTCAGTCTCCCATATATACTCATCCTCTTCAGTTACTGTTTGCCGGTTCCTTGTCGTTTCTCTGCCCTTAATGTGTGTTTTACCTGACATTTCCTGGATTTTGGCTTGCTGTATTTTGTTTATGTTTGCTTCTGTTGGCCTTTGGAACATTATTAAATCAGCAAAACTCACTGCAGTCACTGCATTTGGGTCCTCAAGTAATTTCCACCAAACTTGACACAGTGTGGGTGTGTCCCTCCAGTGTCACACATCTGGTTTGGTCTTAGTGTTATAGTAAAGGACAATTTTCATTCTTCCTCAAGTTCTTCATTTTAAAAGTGATTGTAATCAACTTTACTAAGAAATTTCAGAATGAAGGAAATCGTTGTCAGTATGAAGTTCATTTGAATCTAAACTGTATGTACTTGTGAATTGTGACTGTAGTTTTGAAGTTTTAGAAAGGAATAGAAGTTTTGTAGTTGTGTATATTTTTCCAACTTTCAGTGACAAAAAGTTGTGCTTTTTAAAGAAAAGTAGACAAACTGGGTTTTCTGTTTCAAATATAAAATCTATATTCAAATCAATCGCAATCATAAAATCAATCACAATTTTTTTACTATATATTTTTTTAACAAAACTACAAATTGGTTAATTCAACTGCTTTAACCTGCTCCAATTAGGGACAAATTCAGCCTTAGAAGTTACACTTTTTACACAAGTTACACTTTTGCTCTCAGTTCTACAACAGATATGCTGGAGTTGGCCAAAAATGAACTGTGACTTGTGGATATTTCACCTGAGGGTTTTGCCTGCTTGGTTAGTCCGCACCAAACTGGAAATAAACATAGGGCATTACGTAATGTTGACTTCTAAGGGCACAGCCATAGACCTTTGAAGGGTGCAGATGGGGACCTGGACTAAAGCATCCGCCATCTCCTGGACAGTTTGTGTTGCAACGAGATGTTGGTGGGGAATAGGCAGGCCAGTCCATGGCTTCAATACCTTCTTCTTGGAGGAACTGCTACCACAGTCCAGCCCCATACGGTCTAGCATTATCCTGCACACTACACCAGCATTGGGTCTCAAAAGGGGTCTGAGGATCTCATCTTGGTAGCTTATAGCAGTCATGCTACCTCTGGCGAGCACTTGGTGGGCTGTGCGGCCCTCCAAAGAAATTACACCCACACCATTATTATTGACCCACTGCCAAATCCGTCATGCTGAAGGATGTTGCAGCCTGCAGATCGCTCTCCAGACCCTGTTACATGTGGTCAGTGTGAACCTGCTTTAATCTTTAAGGAGCATAGCGTGCAACTGCAAATTTGCCAACACTGGTGTTCTCTGACAGATGCCAAGCTTAATGCATGGTGTCTGGCATTTGGTCATTTTGCAGGGCTGTGGCAGTGCTCCTCCTTGTACAAAGGCGAAGGTAGCAGTCCCTGTGCTCGGTTGTTGCCCTCCTACGGCCTTCTCCACGTTTCCCGGTCTACTGGCCTCCCGGTAGTGCCCCCTGCTACTGGAAATGTTCTTAGCACAGCTCACATTTATGTGCCGTCCTGGATAAGTGACACTACCTCAGCCACTTGTGTGGGTTGTAGAGCTCTACCACGAGTAAAATGACCAAAACTGACCAAAACATAAGCCAAAAAGCATAGGTACTGAGAAGTGGTCTGAGTTGTCTACATTGAGTGTCTTGCTAAGTGCCGATAATTTCCACCTTTTGTCTACTGCAGTTGAACAACACCATCTAAAATTGATTGCTAACGTGTGTTGCTTCCTAAGTGGACAGTTCGATTTTACAGAAGTTTGACTTAATTGAAGTAATAATGTGTTGTTTTAATATGCCCTTGATTTTTTTAGCAATTTATTACATTTTAGGATATTTTTATGTAGCTGTGCTGCATAGGCTATGCTAGCATTTTGACATAATGACACCTGTGTTTGTCTTACTTCCTCCATTACAAACAAACATACATTTAAAGCTGACAAAAGCTTTTTAATTATTTATCCTGCCCATTTATGCTTCTCCATTCCTCTTTAGCAGTGTTTCTTCAGGCTGTGGTGACAGCCAAGGGAAGAGTTGTACAGTAGTTGGTCCTTATCAGGGAGCCTCAGTGAACCAGCCGACAGCATGGAATGTTTATTATAAAAACTAATTATAAAATATTTCATAGATTAACAAACATGTTCTCTTTGAATCATATTCATTTTGAAAGTTTATATCGGCCGAAGGGAATCTTGACTTGCGTCTAGTAGAGAATCTGGAGGGAGCTAAAGATCAGGGTGATGATAGGGAGTTCTTATCAAACCTCAAAAACTGGAGTTAATCGAGCCCCCATGAATTTCAAAATGCCATTGGAAACACAACGAGATTTTTAACTAATGTAATGACAGTAAATACTTTTTTTTGTGGAATGATTTAATTGTTTTTGACATAGCACCTTTTAACAACATGTAAAAGGCTTCTTTAAATTAAAACACATTATTTCCTATCTTTTTTATCTATCAGTCAAAGAACAAAATCAGTTCATCCATATTAAATGATAGATGTTTTAAATGACTTTCATATTTATCTTTAACATTTGTTATTTTCAGGTTTTTATTTATTTATTTAAGTTTTGTTTGTAGCACTGTGAGAAACATATGAGCCCTTGTGCAAACCAACAGGTTTGAGAAAGACTCCTGGATAGGTGTCGAAACTACTAAAAAACTGAGCGAAAGTCCAGTTCCCTTCCAATTCAAGCATATTTTGTGGTTGCCATGACCCGGGTGAATGAGAATCTACACAGAAATGAGTTACAAATTTTTGGAGATTGAAAAATGTTGACGTAGAGCTTTGATATCTCAGTTGTCTGTTTAGGTGAGTAGCCTTTATATTCTCAATAAACCAGGCTTTGGTGTTAGCTGGGAATCCTGTTTGACTTCTTATTTGTCACTTTTTATAGTTATAATGAAAATACCACTTCATCTGCTTGCTACACAGGTATGCCAGACGTATTCCTGATATATGCATTATTAAATTAATGCATTATTGAATTAAAGCATATAAGTTTGATTATTATGTACTAATGTTAAATTATTTTACTGTTTCGGAAACGCATTAGTGACATTAATGAAGTCTTACAAGAAGTGCAAAACATCTGCTTATAAAATAAGTCTGGGTATTTTTAATGAAAAAGTTAAAACGATTCTAAGACAGGATTTCTTTTTAAATAGAAATTTTCTAAATTTTGGGACAATATAGTATGATAAAGAGTACATTTATATACATGTTTAAGCCAGAATAATCCGACATTTAAATATGGTTTCCCATGACGTTAAATTATTGTATTGCTGGATATTACATTTTAAACTGTAAAATCAAATTTTAGATAAACTTTTGTAAAAATGTAAAGAAGAATGTAACAAAAAATTACCCAGCGTGACATGGCAAAACGATTGAAAGATCTGAAATTGCAGGTCTGTCACAATACAATCCAGGAGGGCAGGGTGGACATTCTTTCACTGCTTTAAGTCCTTTGGAAATTGCAAGAGAACCAATAGGGCAGGGAAGGGGATGGCCGGTGCCAGATGGGCAGTAATGACCAGAGGGACAAATACGGCTGTTGGTTGATATACCCTGGAATGAAAATATGAAACAAATTAAGTAAGCAGTTATTAATTACCACATTGCATTTTATATAAACAAGGTAAATAAAGTACCTTATATATTTTGTCTGTTTCCTATGTACTATATTACATCAAATCAATATTAATAATGTAAGAACAGAGGGTAACGATCCAAGGAGCCCTTTTGATCCTCTCCCCTACAAATGAAATATCTCTTAAACCAAAAGAACCTACTTACCATTGCAAAGGACATTAGCCATATGCTGTATAATTTCATTATTTTTGTTTTTGTGAATTTTAAAGAATAATCTTTATTCTGTCAAATCAAAAATATGTTTCCTTTGATAGAATAAGGTCTGCTCAGTGGAGCAGTGTATAGCACTGCTGCCTTGCAGCAAGAAGGTTCTGGGATTGATTCCCAGCCGGGAAATGGATAAATGGATGATAAAATAAATATGAAGCTGTCAAAACTATGTCATGTTGCCTTAAGGTTTTCCTCCTTTCAGTGTTGTTTATATTCTAACAGCCTTGAATGGTCAGGAATAGAAAAGATTGAAGACTCTTTTAATGTGTTAAATCGAAGAATAAATGTACCAAGGACATTCTTTTAAAAATACATCGGTGAACTGGTGACTTTAGGTGAAATAAGTTTCACCTAAAGTTAAATCTATTTTTAGATTTGTTATGATCTCATAATTTTTTATAAGATTAATGGATATATATATGTGGAAACATGTAAAGTCTACAAGCAACAGAGAAAATCCTAACACCTCATCTGTGGAATTTGGACTGGTTGATCCTGCAGGACAGTAATATCCTTCTTGACACAGACCTGAGGGCTGTGACAGACCAAACTGAAAGCAGAACATTCCTGCAGAAGGAAAACGTAAAAAGCATTGGCATCATAGTTACTACAAATGATCTATGAAACTAAAAAAGCTAAATATTTTTTTTCTAACCAGCAGGGCAGGGACTGCAAGCATCAGGACTGGAGGCTCCGAGTCGACTTTGTACTGTACCAGGTGGGCATGGGTATTCTTGAGCTAAAATCTGCCCTGCAGGACAGTAATGACCAACAGGACAACGTACTGGCTGAACAGTACCTTCATCTGAGACAAAGAAAAAATAAATAAAATGGAGAAATTCCACCATTTTGCAATAATTTATCTTTGTAGTTTGCTAAAAAATAATCTGGGTTTAACCATAAAATACTCTTTCACCATCTCTAACGCTAAAGCAATCAACTACCATCAGCTGCTTGACCAAATATATATGAAAGGCGTTTTCAAGAGCAAGTTACTTTGGTGGTTCTAAAAAAGATAATAGATTGAATAGCTCCATCCATTTAACACTTAATCTCTTTATTACAAAATGCTAATTAGTACAAAAACAGTAAATAGTGTTAATAATACTACAGGTTTTATAAACTTGTGGTGTTTTGATTATACTTCAGCCGACATTTCTTTTTGCTACATATTATAACAATCTATTGATTTCTACCTTGACAGTAGTATCCAGGGGTACAGGTGCTGCAGTTGTCTTGATGAGTGTTGCCCAATTCCGAGCTAAATGTTCCCGCAGGACAAGCTAAGAGGACTGGTGTTCCACTGGGGCAAAAGAAACCAGCTGGACACACAGCCTGATCTGCCTTGATGGAACCCCAGTCACAATAAAACCCAGCCTTGCAATAACCTGGTATTGTACATGGTTTGAATAAATTATCATCAAATTATCCGTCATAACTGTTTTTTTAATCAAATGAGATAAATCTTTTATTCCATCTACCTGCTCTAAGCCCTTTTTGGCAGAATATTCCAGGAGGACAGAGAGATCCAGTCCTGTTGTCAGTTGGATTTGGCACCTTTGCACCCATCAGACACAGAAAACCATCAGCACACGATCCCGAGGGCTCAGTCAAACCTTCTGATCCACAGAACTGACCTGCAGGACACATTAAGCATTGACCTGCAAAGTAAAAGAATCAAAGCTGTGACTTTAGTCCCAACAGGAAAACAGGCTACCTCACACACACATTTCATCAGAATATATTTAAATTGCTTATATATTCTACAAAAGTGTTGGGGTCTCATAATTTCAAAATCTTTCTCCTTACCTGTAGAGATAAGACCCTGGTTGGAGCTGTAGGTTCCATTAGGGCATGGGACAAGCTGACTGTTCAGACCATCTCTGGGACAGATGTGTCCAGCTGGGCAGGGAAGAGGACTGGAGACTCCAAGAAAAGTCCCTCTATTCGGAGAGGGATTTAGAGCCTGGCAGTGGAACCCGGCAGGACAGGGAATACACTTTTTCTGGCCAGAAAATTCCTGAAACCATCCTGAAAAAGCATTATTAGAGAAATTATCTAAACTTTAAAGGATGAAAAACTGATACCCTTTGAAATTGGAGCATATGCTGCATTAACCAATGTTTACCAGGCGGACAGGGTTTACAGTCGTCTTTGCTTTTGCTTCCAGGATTGTTCTGGTAAAAACCAGGAGGGCAGGGTAAAGGAACACTGGTGCCTTGTGGACAGCAATGGCCTTCTGGACAAACATCTCCAGATTCACCTGAACTAGGAGAGGGAGAGCTAGACCCCTCTAAACAGTAGTAACCTGTGGGAAACAAATTTTTGATCAAATTGAATCAAGCATTTTCAGTTATCTTATACAATATTATTTTACAGCACCATGTGGTGAGTGCTGATTTGTACAGCAGCCAAAAACCTGCCAAAAAATAATTACAGAGAAAATGAGAATCATTTTTGTTTCAGGCTGCTTTTCTTTGATTTAATTAAAAAATTAATCAGTCTGTTATTAAGGCTTTTCAACCATTGTTTTTGTTTCACGAAGCCTGGGTCAAAAAATTGGTTGTTTTCGTGTTTTAAAAACGTATAATGGGAGGGTATTTGTAAAGGAATGTAAAAGATTGTAATTATTATTATGTTTTGAATAAGGAAAATAAAAGTTTACAGTTAAAGAAAATGGAGAAATGGAAGGGCCTCTACTCTTAAGAAAGCACCTGTCCTTGTGATAAACAGAAAGATAGTTAAAAAAAAGAGGAAGCGTTTGAGAGAGCTCGATAAGAGAGGAAAGAGTTGGTGGTAAACAGGAAGCCACAAGCCTGAAGGTGTAGTAGTTGCAATGTTAGCATCATATAACATTTCTTAAAACAATTGCATTTGTTCTTGAATTGAGGAGGTAAGGGAGACACTTTGCCAATGTAACAATAAAAAAATAAAAAAATAGCATTGTCTTATTTGAAGTGCTTTTATCTAATTATCTTATTGAAAGAGTAGACCTTCCCATTCCATTGGCAGATCATCTTATTTAACTACTTAAATAAAGGGTAGATACACTTCAATTAAAAAATTTTTACTTAGTTCTAGAGCGTTTTTCCGGTGGCATGGTTCAGTGGCTGTAAATGGGAGTTTGTGAAAAGCATGACATTGATCTAAGGGTTGTTATGGGCTAGAAAGAAAGTACACATACCACGTTGAAGTTTCCCATAGCTGGATTGATTAAAAGAGGGAGTAGTCAGAAGAAGTTGGTTGAATAGTAATTAGCCCTTAGTCCTCCCTGAAGTGCTCTGTTCTTCGTCAGCAGGGGAAAAGATATAACAGCGTTAGATGCAGCAGCAAGAAAGAAGAAATCTACCATTCCCTGTGATGTGAGAGAGCTGACCTTGGGTTCCAGTTCTTGTAGCTATTTAGTAAAAAAAGCCAAAGTCTAATAGATCAAGACAGGAATGTACTTTATTGTAGTCTTAAACTTGATCAGTGGATCTGTAGATTGAAGAGGAAGAGCGAAGAGAAATGGGAAAGAGGTTCCAAGAGATGTTCCAAGATGAGCCAGAAGAAAAAGTAGTTCTGGCCCACCAGGGTTTGAAGAGTAATAATTCTCAGGGCAAGTTCAGGAATCCAAGTCCAAATAAGGCAGTTGAAAGACAGGCTGAGACTCATGATTAAAGCGAAAAACCAAATTACAAAAGCATGGGTGTGCACAAGATGGGGTTTGACTCTGGAAAGTTGAGGGTAAGAAACTATTCTTTTTAAAGGTCAGTCCTTACCACTAAGAGCAAAAGGTTTTGACTCAACGTTTTTGCTCTGCTTATGATTTGAAATTAATTTTGCAGTTTCATCATAGTAAAAGTACAAGCTGTTCATTCCTCAAATGGATTTTGGTGGGTCAAGACAGGTCAAGTACTTTAGTACAGTTTATCCTTATCAGTTGTTCTAAAGACTAAGGGTGAAGACTGAACACTGACCATCCTGGGGCTGAACAAGTTAGTTTCTCAGGAAAGTCCTGTATAAAAAGGAGGACAGTTTTCCAAGAAGACTGGCGGTACTTGGGCTGAAGGACTTCATTTCCTAGGAAAAGTCCTGTATAAAAAGGAGGACATTTTTCCAAGAAGACTGGCGGTACTTGGGCTGAAGGACTTCATTTCCTAGGAAAAGTCCTGTATAAAAAGGAAGACAGTTTTCCAAGAGGACAGGCCATGCTGGGGGTTAAGAGGTCAGTTTCTTAGCAAAAGTCCTGTAGAAATGAAGACAGTTTTCCAAGAAGACTTGGGGGGAGTGTTGGTGGTGCCACACAATGTCAGCCGACTGCTCTCCAAGGGGCTGAGTTAAATGCAGAGATAAATTTCTCCATTGTGAGATCAATAAAGTTAAATTATTTTTATTACTATTAGACCAGTAGCTGAAGAAATTTGTTTCTTAGGGTTGTGAGTAAGAAACTTCACCACTAAGAGAATGTAAATGTTTTTCTTAATGGAAGCTTGCAAATACACTTAATTTAAGAATAAGAAGAAGAACTTTGTGTCTGTTCCTTTAACCTAAATTGACTCTCAATTTGGGTTAGAGTCAGCATATGTAGTCTTAGAATGGTGCAATAATTGGTTTATTGATTTTTTAATCTTGCTGAAATGCTGCTGGAATCATCCTCTGCTAGAGCATACCCATAAAGCATGTTAAAATGTATATAGGGGTGTATATAACACATCTTTGAACCACATTTGTAAGGGTAAGTTCTTGAATGGTGTAAAATACATGTATGAACATGGTTCTTAGGTATACTTCGAGGTCTGGCAGGTTTGCTGTAGGGCCGAATTTTGTCATAAACCAAAAAGATGGTAAAAGGAGGTAGTCCCGGCTGCTAGATTATCTGATTCAGTTGTTTAAAAAGGGTTTAGGTTTGGGAAGGAGACATTTAGCACACATCTAGGCTCAAAGTCTGCGAATCCAGGTTGGTTTCAGAGTCTGAGCTGAAATCGAAGTGAGGAATGGAGGGGGCTGTTCATTTATTATTGCACAGTCATAAAAACCAAAAAGTGCCCTTAGTTATTTAGTTGCCCCCCCCCACCCCCCCCCCCGCCCCCCCCCCCACCCCCACCCCCCCCACACACACACACACACACTCTTAATGGATATTGTTTATCTAAATGTTGGACATTTTACATTTTGTGTTGTAAGACTACACTGATGCAATAAAACATCAGTTTATTTATTTATTTTTATTTTTTTAGATGTAAGCACATCTTCAGTTGTGGCAAAAAGTCTGAAGGAAACCACGTTTACCTGGGAGGCAGGGTCCAGAGACTGAAGATAGACCAGGTTCTGAACAGTAAAATCCAGGACGGCAGCTTTGACACTGAGAACTGTTTGCCAGCCCACGGAGTTTACTGTCCCAAATATTTCAAAACACAGAAGGAGTTGATAATATTATACACAGAAATAAAGGCTAACATGTTCACCTATATACTAAAAAAACTGATCACAAAATGGTTGAAAGTGAAATTACTTGGAGATACTAAAGAGAATGCAAATATTTAAAACAGGTTAAAACAGCTTAAAATTAAGTTTATGCTCAGATCATATTTTTTCCAGATAATATTTTATGTAGAAAGAAAAAACACAGAAAGATTTGGCTAGTACAAAGTGATACAGCTAAATTTGTACCTGTATGTTCCTTTAGGGCAAGGTTTTGGTACTAAAGTTCCCATTGGGCAGTAATATCCAGAAGGGCATTGGAATCCCGTCAGATTGTCTGCTGGCGAATGTTCAGAGGCTCCTTCAATACAAATGTAGCCCTCAGCACAAAGCCCGCTGGGAACAGTTCTCCCTGAAAGTGCACTTCTTTTTAATTTATTTATTGTTTTAATTGAACGATACAAATAATAGTTTTTAGCGCCTTATTCAAATTGTACCAGACTGTTTGAATTTTCAACACATTTATAGTGGGCATCAATGTCACAACAAGTCCATATTCAATGTAATTTTTCTTACTGCTTTTAACCTTTTTTTATTAAAAAATATAATGATGCTCATTAAAACTTGTTAGATGATCTGTAACTTCTAATGGTAAGAAAGGTCAAACATGTTTTTACTTTAGCCTGTAAACATAATAATGCAAAAATGGCAATTTAAATAAGTAATTTTTTCTTTAAATAAGTGCATCTGTCTTGAATTGAGGAAGTAAGGGAAACCCTTTGCCAATGGAACAAGACTTACATTTAAGATTTTAAAATAAGAAAAAACAATTACATTGTCGTATTTCAAGTGCATATTTCCTAGCTATTATTTTAAGAGTAAAAACAATCATCCCATTGGCAAATCATCATATTTGCCTACTCAAATTATGGGTAAATAGACTTAATTTAAGACAGTTTTACTTATTTGTAGTTCGTTTTGGCAGTGCATATTAACCCTGTGTGGATAAGAGATAATCAAGCAAAAATGGAAAATTGTGTGCCCGTTTTTGTTCTTTAATTCAGTTGGATGTTGAATGCAGTTGGATGTTAAATAGTTATTCTACTCAGAAAAATGTCTAAATATTTCTTATAAAGCTTAAACGTGGCAGTCATGCTTCTGATTAGTTGTAAACATCTACACTGGCATTGTAACTTTTTGCACAGTGTAATACTCTGACATTAAGAGGAATGTCTCCATATTACCTGTTCCTTTGCAGTACATGCCAGGGTCACATGGCATGCACTGGAACTTCTCTGCAAGTCCTGACACGTTTCCATAGGTCCCTGAGGGACAGGGGCGTGGATTCACTGATGCAGGGGGGCAGTAAAATCCCCTTTTACAGGGAAGTGGATGACTCATTCCTGATGTGTTGATGCATAGATTCCAAATGAAACAGTTACTTCCTTAAAGCTCATGTTATCAGCTGCCGAAAGCACATTCATACAATTTATTAGTTACCCTGATCTTGACAGTAGAAACTTGGGGGACATGTTTCACAGGTCCCTTGGCTTTGTCTCTGCTGGTAACTGCCAGGATTGCAAGGTGTCTGCCTCACACTGCCCTGAAATTAATTATTATGAATTATTCAAAAGACTTTTCACCTGCTGAGCAGGTCCTATCAACAGTAATAACTGCAGAGCACGTGAAGAGTAGAGACAGATATGGCACAAGGTGAAACCAGAGATAGTTTTAACCAAGTCGAGAGACACAAGGTGAAACCAGAAATAGTCTTTACCGAGTCGGGAGACATTAAGTGACTTCAGCATACAATAACGTGCGTGTCATACCAAGGTATGCTTTCATGGAAAACTCATGCAAAATTCAGTAGTGATGACTGACAAGAGCTTGAGGACTAATGGAGCATGACTGACCTTCTCACAATAATGTCCCAGTGAGCAGACATGTAGTTGTGGTCTTTGAGATCTCTGTCCTTCAGGACAATAGTAGCCTTCTGCACAGTGGCCACTCGGCTCAGTCTGCCCTTCCTTAGCGCAGTAGTGACCTGGAGGACACAGCTGACATGTCTCCACTGTGGATCCACCGAGGGATTCTAGTGTTTAATGAACAACAACGGTACAGTGAGAGAAAAAAATTATTAAACAACAACTAAAGTAAAATGTAAAACATTTCAAAAGTATCCGTTAACAAATGAAGTCACAACAAAATCATAAAAAGCAATACATTTTCCAGAGATTTCTGTGTCAGGACAACATAATATATAGATACAGGATGTAAGGAAAATTATCAATAATTTTTTTAGTATTTTAACAAAGACAAATCAAAAACTTTTGAAGCCTTAGGTTAAAGGAAAGACTTAATAAAAAAATTATGAATGTAGTCCACATAATTAGTCTCTATAAAAGAGAATCTAGAAGAACAATGATGAAAGGGACCCATTAGGAGTGGTTTTTGTGCTTCTAGCCATATTGCCTAGGCTACTGCACCCAACAATTACATGTTTATCTTCTATTGATAATACAGTTAGCCCTGTTTTTCAAATGTTAACTCTGTCTCTCTATTAAGAAAGTTATGTGCTAAATGTTCATTACAACTAACTATACGTGCATCAACTGTTGCTCAACAAAATTTTGATTTGGGCGCTCCATAACGCTTGTTTACTTCCTTAATTTATTAATAGCTATTAATAGCCTACCTACTGTGGTCAATAATGATCAAAATCAATTTCATGATTTCCATTTTTATTTATTATTAATTTTTTCAATTTCAAATTATTTTACTGGCAACTGTGTTTTTTTTCTTGCTCTAATAGAATGCTATATAAACTTTCAATTACATCCGAAAATATTTATATGTTATGAAGATTTTTCATCAGCTAATGTGCCGATGACTCTGTTTAGCCAAACCACGTCCACTGTGCCTACATAAAAAAAGGGAAAATACAGGCAGCTGGTTAAACTATTTTTCAGTACTGTAGAGGAAAAAAAAGAACTAATCTTAAATCACTTTGTATGTTGAAATAGTTACAGCATTAAAGTAGATAAAAACACAATACAAATGCAAACTACAAAGTAGCTGTTTCCTTATCTGTTTCTTATTCATAGTGGCACAAAGAAGCTACGGCAAACACTTAATGAGCCTGGAGTTGTCTGTCGCAAGACAAGAATATGATTACACAATTAAACCATTTTGTGACAACAATTATTTATGGGCACCCAAAGGAGACAAAATATGCCTCAGTGGAGGTTTTCATATTTTCCCACATCAGTGAGCCAGACAGACAGACATCCCAGGGTAACACTGCGAAGAAATTACAACGATTTCAGCAAAGTGGATCAGTTTTCTTTTTAACTCGGCTCTGGTTTGTGTCAGAATACTGTTCATCTCAGAAAGTCAAGAGATTACTGACTAATTTTTAAAAGCTGTAACACAGAGCCCAAAAAACTATCAAAACACATTTGATTAAGTTGATGAAATCATTTTAGCTATATTAAAAAATATCTCACTTTTAATGGATCCTATAGGGCAGGGGATTGGAAGTGGTGTTCCAACTGGGCAGTAGTGTCCGAAGGGGCAGGGGTTGACAAAAGGGTCAGAGGAGCCCCAAGGACAGTAATAACCAGCTATGCAGGGCCCCGTTGGTGCATCTAGACCAGTTTGGTTACAGTAAAAGCCAACATCACACAGCTTAGGGTAAGCAGATCCAGAAGGACAATAGAAACCTGAAAAAAACAGCAACAGAAACGTTCAACAGAAATATGAAACTCAAGCTAGAAAATCTTAAACTTATTAGGATTATCTTTGTTATGCAAACAATCTTCATAAGCATAGTTATGTTCCGTTTTCATTTTGTTAAAAAAAGGTATTCTTATTTTTGAATTCTAAAGAGTCCCCTTGTTATTTCAGAGCACTAATTACTTTGCTAAAGGATTTCCAATATGTTCTTTTATGGGCTAAGATGAAAAACTACTTTATAGTAATTTAATGTACTTTATCATAGGGCCTCTTTCCAAGAGGTAAATAGAAAAGAAGATGTCAGACTTTCAGATCTTTAAATGAAGGTACTGGGAAGAGTGAGGTCCCATTAGCTTAAGAGGAAACTCAACTTGCATTGGAATCAGCATCTTAAGCTGCTAGGGCCAAGATACATTAAAGATTGTTTAATGATGGCAAGTGCAACAAAATTGTAAGACTTTTGAGAAATGTTTTTTTAATAACAATGTATTAAAAAGTAAGTACTTTTGCTTTAAATGAACATGTCATAACATAACACTTTCTTAAAATGTTTGAAATTACAGAATTATAGACATAAACTAATGATCTGATGCAATTTGCAATTACAGTGACAAGGACATAAGATAAAAATGTCTGCAGCCTAGGGTATAAGAAAGTTACTTTAGAGCACACATTCACTGTCTGAATTTACACACCCTTAGGACATATATCTCCTTTGTAGGTGGAACATGCATAATGTGGACTCTTGAGATGTTCTGCTGAGTGATTCACATTGTTATCCAAATGTGCCCGTGGCACAGCATCTACTTTGATCCAGGTAGTGTTTCTCCTTGCAGCTGAACATGGCAGACAGAACATTTTTACAGTTACATCTTTATAAACAGACAGTACACAGGTAGAAAGAGTGTTTATTTCTTAACATGAAAATAGTGTTTATTTGTTTGAGTGGTTCACTTTTGAGCCGAAAAAACATAGGATCTTTAAAGTTCAAAACATACGAAAATCACATTCAGCCTTACTATTTCTTATTTTATCAAATCCTTTTTTGCATACAGAACCACTGGACCTTAGCCACTCTTAACCCTTTAAAACCAATTGTATCATATTTGATACATGATTTTTTGAGGACTTTGCATCATCAGTTTGATCTTGCTGATCTTAGAAACCCTGACTTACACAATCAGACACATGTAATTAACAGAAAACGTATATAAGATTCTACAGAAATGCCTATGTATCAAAATTGATGCAAATAAATAATCTAATTTAACTTATACAATATATATATATATATATATATATATATATATATATATGTGTGTGTGTGTGTGTGTGTATGTATTCTTTTCTTTCATTTTCAGAGAGTTCAGTGACAACTCTAAATAAAAAAAATTGAATTTTCGGTCAATTATTTCATGGTCCAGGCTTTAAAGGGTTAAACAACAGCAGGTAACAGCGGTGTCACTACGCTATCTCATATAAATAGGAAATGACTGTTTAATGAAGCTCTAGCGGAAGTTCAATTGAAGAAACTCTGACTTACCTCCATCAATCAGAAGCCGATCCGTCTCTGAAGCGAGCCAATCAGCTTCGAACTACTCCACCATGAAGCCAAATCAGCGTCCTGCTTCCACTTTATAAACTCCCTCAAATCTCACCACAGCCGCAATCCTGCAATCGCAATGTCGGATTTCGATTCAGACGACAATCCAATTTTCCCTGCTCGGAGAAGCTCCCGTCTAGCCGCTCTCATCTCCTTCTTCCGCGTTACACTCCAAGGGTATATTGCCAGACTCCGACCTAGACTCTGCTCAGATGTCTCAACGAGCCTCCCTCTTACCTCCTGGTGATTCATCTCCCTCGCCTTCCGCTCTTCAATCTGCTCTGATTCCTGGCCGCAAAAGACATGCAAGTCGCTCCCCTCGCCAAGCGCAGAAGGCCTCCCGGATCTGTCCCAGCAGCAGTCACCACTACGCCCGCTCCTTCTCATCGTTTCGATGCAGCCTTGGACCTTCTTCAGCTTCCTGATTCATAACAGCTCCCCCGTCTAGCCCTTCTGGCGTTTAACAGCTCTCAGCCTCCCTCCGCTCCACCGGACTCTCTCACTCAATCCGTTTGACGCTGTCCGCACGCTCCAACTTGGAAATCCCTGCACTGCCACGTCATCCCTGCCGCTGTCTGCTCAGACGGACCTCCCCCTCCACTCATTCACATTAGGGAACGCCCGCCGGGCCAGCCTAAGGTAAGACGTATTCAACCATGTTTTCATTCATAATTTTCTATCTATTTGAGTTCGCTCTTTATGCTTTGTCTGCCTCTTATTCAGGCATACCTTATATTAACATGCATGCTGATATTTCCACTAGCCTCGTTCTAATTATTCAGGGGAAATGTTTTAATTTAGTCTTTCTTATTCTTCCCTCCCCTGAAGTCAATCAGCAGGTCGCTTCAGCAGGTGACGTCACAGTTTTCCTTAATCATCCGATCTCCGTCTATTCAGAGATCCTCTATTGGCAATTTCCTGCCGCATTCAGCATCTATCCATAACCATAGCTTCCGCAGGAGGCCATTCATATCAGTCTATCCCCGCCGTGCACGCTTCACATAAATCGTACCTCAGTCTTAGCGGCCCGTCATCTTACCACCCCTTATTATTTTTCTGATTATCGTCTTGTCTCCTCATAATCTGTCGTTTGATAATAATATAATAATAATAATAATAATAATAATAATAATAATAATAATAATAATAATAATAATAATAATAATAATAAAAAAAATAAAAACTGGTGTTCTCCATCAGTCATTTCTAAATGCCAATTGCGCTCCTTGCTAGGTCAGCTAATTTGCCATGCGCTTATTTCTCAAGGCCGCTCTTTCATTCCCAGTTGCTTGATCCGGCATTTTCCGTCCCTCTCCTTGGTCAGATTACTGAACGTAGGCTGCCGTTCGGATCTCCTGGTCAGACTGCTTCTAAATTGGAACGAAATTTCTTTTCTATGTCGACATTATCTATCTCCTGCCATGCTTCAAAAATTTTACGGATGTTGCATCCGTAGGTTTTGGGGGGTTCTTCAGGACAGGTGGTTCGCGGGTTCATGGCCTCTTTTATTCACACCCAATTATGCTTGTGTGAGGTCTACCCTTAGCTAGCTTGCCATCGTGGGGCTATGGGAAGGTATCGCGTCCGCCCACTGCGATAACATCGTAGTAGTTGAAGCCACTAATAAAGTCACTCCTCCTCCCAGTCTCTCATGCCCTTCATCAGAAGCATCACTGGCAGCAGTCACTAACGTTTCATCATCTTGGCGCGTCATGTTTCAGGCATTCTAAGCACCTTCATTTCGCCCAAGGGTTACCCTACGTCCCCGCTTCGCAGCTACTCGCGGGGTTCTGAGGCTTCCCTCAGCTGGGCCGATGGTTCACCAGCCTATACCTCATTCATCCGCCCAGAACTCTCACCAATTCTCGCAGCTCAGCGCTCTCTCTGCCTCTAGGTAACTCTATTACAAATACTGGTGGTGGTTCAACTCATTCTCATAATTTTCTGACCTAATCACGACCATCCTCTAACTCATTTTCTACTCCCACTCCTTATCAGTTTTCTTCATTATTCCCTGCTTCATCCAGTCTTCCATGCTGTCTCCTTGCTATATTCATTCTGGCTCGCATTCATGCAATCTCACCTTTATGTCAGGCATTTACATGCATTCTCCTGTGTGTCACGTCACGTCTGGTCTGTGTCTCGTCATGCATTCCCTAATGCATCAATTCTTCATATATGTTATCATCCGCAATATCATTATCAGACTCATCGGCAAGATTCATTATCAGACTCATCCGCAAGATTCATTATCAGACTCATCTGCAAGATTCATTATAAGACTCATCTGCAAGATTCATTATCAGACTCATCTGCAAGATTCATTATCAGACTCATCCGCAAGATTCATTCCCTAATGCATCACATGCTCCCTATCTGTGTCTCGTCGTGTCTCGTCATGCATCCTTTACGCCATTTTGCATGCATTTTCAATGCATCAATATGCACCATGTCTGCGTCTCGTCATGTCTGTATCCTGTCATGTTATATGTTCTATATGGACTCATCTGCAAGATTCATTATCAGACTCATCCGCAAGATTCATTCCCTAATGCATCACATGCTCCCTATCTGTGTCTCGTCGTGTCTCGTCATGCATCCTTTACGCCATTTTGCTTGCATTTCCAATGCATCAATATGCACCCTGTCTGCGTCTCGTCATGTCTGTATCCCGTCATGTTATATGTTCTATATGGACTCATCCGCAACATCATTTTCAGACTCATCCGCAAGATTCATTATCAGACTCATCCGCAAGATTCATTATCATCGTCATCATAATGGGATACATCATCGTCATCATCATCATCATCATCCGCAGGATTCATCATCATCATCCGCAGGATTCATCATCATCATCATCCGCAGGATTCATCATCATCATCATCATCCGCAGGATTCATCATCATCATCCGCAGGATTCATCATCATCCACAGGATTCATCATCATCATCGTCATCCGCAGGATTCATCATCATCATCCACAGGATTCATCATCATCATCGTCATCCGCAGGATTCATCATCGTCATCCGCAGGATTCATCATCATCATCATCATCATCCGCAGGATTCATCATCATCATCATCCGCAGGATTCATCATCATCATCATCCACAGGATTCATCATCGTCATCCGCAGGATTCATCATCGTCATCCGCAGGATTCATCATCATCATCGTCATCCGCAAGATTCATCGTCATCATCATCATCATCATCATCATCATCATCATCATCATCATCATCATGGGTAAATCATCATCATCATGGGTAAATCATCATCATAATCATGGGTAAATCATCATCATGGGTAAATCATCATCATGGGTAAATCATCATCATCATCATCATCATGGGATCATCATCATCATAGGTTCATCTTCATCATGGGATCATCATCATCATGGGTTCATCTTCATCATGGCATCATCATCATCATGGGTTCATCATCATCATCATCATCATGGGTTCATCATCATCATCATGGGTAAATCATCATCATCATCATCATCATCATCATCACGGATTCATCATCATCACGGGATCATCATCATCATCATGGGATCATCATCATCATCACGGATTCATCATCATCATCATGGGTTCATCATCATCATCATGGGTTCATCATCATCATCATCATCATGGGTTCATCATCATCACAGGTTCATCATCATCATCATCATCACGGGTTCATCATCATCATCACGGGTTCATCATCATCACGGGTTCATCATCATCATCATGGGTAAATCATCATCGGTAAGTTTTCGGCGTCTACCGTGGTCGCCATCCTCATCAACAACCTGGCCTCGTCCTCGGCTTTTTGGGGGAACATCCCTATTCACATTCATCTACTCATTCATGTTAAAGCATAATTCAGCATGAATGTTCCTGCCGAGGTCTGAGCGCCAAAGACTATACTTTCTTATCAATAAATTCTTCTAATTATCTTTTCTCTCTGTGTGATTTTTTCAGATTGAAATGAAGCTCTAGCGGAAGTTCAATTGAAGAAACTCTGACTTACCTCCATCAATCAGAAGCCGATCCGTCTCTGAAGCGAGCCAATCAGCTTCGAACTACTCCACCACGGAGCCCAATCAGTGTCCTGCTTCCACTTTATAAACTCCCTCAAATCTCACCACAGCCGCTATCCTGCAATCGCAATGTCGGATTTCGATTCAGACGACAATCCCCCCAACTCCATCCCCTTCTCCGCCATCGCAGCTGAATCGTCCTCCATGACACGACTTCACCTCAACCTCATCAGAGAGTATTAATCCCAGTTGTCACCATCCCTCATCTCATCGCATTGGTCCGGCAGAAGACCACCATGTTGAGCCCGGTTCTGCCAGAGGTTTCTTCCCAAGGGGAGTTTTTCCTCTCCACTGTCGCTTCATGCTTGCTCATCATGGACAGTTCATGGTACCTGCATCACCAAGCAGGACCTCTATATCCCGAGTCTGAGTGAAGCCCCGGCGTCAGCTCCCTCAGTCTTCTAGTCCCACAATTCTGCCCAGCAGATCACCTTGTCAACCAGCTCGGATTAAACCACCACCAGTTTCAGGCACGGGGGAACATCCCTATTCACATTCATCTACTCATGCATGTTAAAGCATAATTCAGCATGAATGTTCCTGCCGAGGTCTGAGCACCAAAGACTATACTTTCTTATCAATAAATTCTTCTGATTATCTTTTCTCTCTGTGTGAGTTTTTCAGATTGAATATACATATGTATTCCCATTTTAAAGTATTATAAGGCCAGATTTGGACAAATTTCATACAATTAGAGAAGGAAAAGTTGTAAAAAAGTTTGGCAAAGGTTTGACTTTGAAGGGACTTTAAAGAGAAGTCAGTTATTTTCCCAGCATCTATTGCACTACATTAATATTAGAAAATATATTAAAATACCATGTTTAGCATAGAAGTTAGAGCAGGATAAGTTGTACATCCACAAGGCAACATCTATTTCAGTTGAGTAAAGGTCTAAGATTTCCCCAAGACAATTAAAATCCGAGGATTTGGCTCGTGGTGTGGGGCTGTCAGCACCTCCAGAACAGAAGTACCCTGTAGAACATAAACCTAACACAAAAAGATTGATAAAGAGATAAGAGGTTACATTTAACAATCTGCCATGAAACCCACAAGATTGCTTGTATTTTCTTATGTTATTCAAACATTAAAAAATGATTATTGGTTCTATACCTTCTACTATATATGGATAAAGTCAGACAGAAGTGTAGTTTCCCACCTGAAGGTTTCAAAGCTCCAGGAGTTAGGCAGTATTTCCCTGGAGGACAAGGACGGCAGTGGGAGACGAATGAAGCTCCGACATCTGGAAGGAAACTACCAACGGGACAGGGTTGAGGGGACCGACTTCCCAGAGGACAGAAGTGTCCCATGGGACAAATATCACCATATGGCTGGGAGAGAGGTGAAGGCTCTACAGAGCCCTGGGAACAAAAATGCCCTGTAGAGAAACACATGGACAAACATCTATCTAGGGCTTAATGAAATATTTATTATTTTACTATAAGTGCACACATTTTCAGAAAAACAGGCACACTTATTAATGGTACACCAGATTTATTTTAAGACTTTTTAAAATGACAACTGTAAAACCAATTGTTTGGAAAATAGAAACTTTAAAAATGAACATAAAGAAGCAAGACATCAGAAAGAAATATACATATATAATGTCTGATTATAGAGGTAAAGATCAGTTGTTATTGAAGCATCTTTGTCCAAAATTCACTTTGTCAGTAGTTTTGCCTATCTGTACATTACTGGAGTAATTTTACTTTTACTCCTTACATTTTTTTTATTATCTGTACTTATTACCCCTTATATTTGAAAAATCGACTTGTGAGTTTTGTTTCTTCGTTATGACCTCTTGGTATTTAAAAAAAAACAAACAAAAACACCCAAATAAATTGTTTCATTAATATAATTACCCCTGCACCATATTTATTTTGCACTGCACTGAACTTTTTCTTCTTAATGCTCTTTTGCACCATTATTTTAGACTGGTTCCTTTTTCTCGTACATTGTTTAAATTTGAGTGTTTCATTGTTTACATTCTGATCACTGCTGCACTTTATTTCAGTAATGTAATCATCTGTAATGTTTATCTTACTCCAACTGCAATAGTATTACACTTTTGTAAGTTGTTTATAATGGAATTCAGTTGGTATACACTCTGTGCATACAAAATTACAAAACGGTTTGTCTAGGTCAGACAAGGAATTTCTCACTTCTCACTCCAAAATGGAATTGCACTCAATACTGCACCAAGTTGTTGCTGGCCACATACCAAAATAAATAAATTTTTCGGGATGATGCAAAGTTGAATTTGACACTGTTGCCCTTACCTATAAAACTAAGTTAAGGAAGTTATCATCCAGAGTTATATAAAAATATTCCTTTAATAGGGTAGTGCAGTATCAGCTTTAAAGGTTTGGGCCTTATCCTTTTTTTCCAGCATTACTTTTACTTTTAGACTTTAAGTAGCTTTAAAAATTGTACTTTTAGAATTTTACTTGAGTAAAAAGCTTAAGCTGATACTCCAACTTCTACAAGAGTGTTTTTAAACAACATGATATACTTCAACTTGAGGAACAAATATTAATACCTGTGACGCCTCTGCATGTGAACCATTTTCTAAACACTTTAAGATCTAAATTCATTTGGCAAATGTATTTCACACAGGTTCAAAGCTAGAATTACAACTTCAAATTTAAAATTCACATTTTACTCTGTTTCTACTTGGATTTGTTTCTTTCTCTCTTTTTTTTCTTTCTTCATTTGCACCTTTCTTTCTTTCTTTCCTTTACTGGCTTTGACTTGTATAGTTAACTAGAATGCTTATAACAAAATAATCATATTTTCACTTCAATATCCTCTTTTTTTCACTTTTTTTGTTTGCATATATAATAACTATCCACACATGCAAATAGAAAATTATGGCCAATAAAGCTGATTCTGTTGGTAAAGCCTTACTTCATCAATTATGAAAGCTTTTAAAACTATTGTGTTAATAAAACTCTATCCCTGGTGCATAATTCTAATGACACCGTGGTAGAAATTATAAATTAAAATTTTGACCAAATTCTGCTAAATTCATTTTATGTGAACTTTAAATATTAAACTCAGCTATTCAAGACTCTAACTGGACTGCAACAAACGTCTTCTGTACAAAAATACCCTTTACTAGCAAGGCTTTTTTTCTTTTGACATACTGCCTGGTAACTGACAGACCTGGGCTGCAGGGTCCAGACGGTTCTGTCAGAGCACTGCTGTTACAAAAGTAGCCGGAGGGGCAGGGCAAGCAGTCACCCAGGGACATCCTGTCAGCTAATGGACTGACATAGCCCAATGGACACGGAGAAGGAACAGAAGAACCTTCCACACAATAAAAACCTGGAAAACAATGGCATATTCTTTCTTTTTCTTAAAAAAAAAAGTACAAATAGGGTATATGCACAAATTAGTGGCAGAGTGCAGTTACCTGGTGGGCAGCTCTCACAAACTGACTGTCCAGATAAAGACTGAAAAGTGCCCTGACTGCAGATGACTGGCTCTGCGCTGCCATCTGGACAAGCATAGCCAGGTGGGCACAGGTATCCTATGAAATAATCAGAAAACAAAGCCCTGGTCTGTCATTTGCTACCTCATTGTTCAAAACTAAAACAATTACAATGTACAGTATGTATGTCTTACTCATGCAACATTGCAGCAGCTTTCTGAAGTTTTAATGGGCTCTATGCACAGCTCCACTACTTTCTGAACTCAAGGCAGCTATTTTGTTTCCTGTCTTTCATTACTGGATGGACTCATTAATCCGTGTGCCCCTTGCAATGCTTACTGGGGTCAGGCACACCTTGATTAATCAGCTCCTCACGTAGATAAAGAAAGAAAAGAATTAGGCTGCCTTGAGGTGAGGAAGTAGTGGAGTTGTGCATAGAGCCCATTGTGGAGAACAACATATGTAGACAATGCAGTGAAGACAATATTAGCTCTAAGCAGAACTAATTTTTTCAGAGAAAAGCGGGAGGGGTGGGGAGGAAATGGTTAGTGGTACTATGAAAATTACAGACACAATTTTAAAATTCATAGATTTTGGGCCACTTCCTGCACACTTTAGCAAAACCCTCTGTGATTTAAAACGAGGTATGATGCAGGAGTTCTCTTTAACTCCATTCCTGGAAGGTGACCTACTGCTGCCAATAACTTCAATTTCTCCTTCTATACATGATACACTCAGCCCTGTCTGTCAGCGCATAACCCTGTCCCTCTCCTATAGCCGAAAGCTGTCAAAAGGTGTTGTTTTTCATATGTATCTGGTTGTGGCAGCTGCTACTAAGTAGTTTGAGGACCTAGATGAACAAATAGCAAGAATAATTGGCATCCTGCAAAGTCAATGACTTCATGCATTCAGCTGGTTTTCCTTAGGGTGAAACATTTTTACCAATCTGTGTGATTTAATTTAATAGCCTCTGTGAATTGATTTGTGTTGTGAATTGGCGCTTTTTAATAAACTTAATTGAAACTGATACATAAACTTTAAAATGCTTAAAAATGCTACCATAAACATACAGTATTTATGGCGGAGACTTTACTGTCACCGATCTAATCTGCCATTCATCACTATGGAGCCCATTTGGTTTAAATCAGAATTTCAGCAGCTGCTTATGGATAAGTTTTTGTGCTATTATTGAAAAACTGCCTCTTGCAAACATTTCTCTATAATGGTATGGGAAATACCCATTGCACAGATATTTCAGAAAAAAATATATTCTGTATCTCCTGATCATTTGAATTATACCTGGCTGATGTCCAGATGATGATCCGTTAGGACAAAACCATCCTGAGGGACAGAGGAGTTCCACGGACGTCTGAGCCCACAAGGGGCAATACCAACCTTGATGACAAGCCTCACAATCATCCTTAGAGTGAGCTGCAGTCCTACCCAAGAAAGTACCTTTTCAAATGAGATAAATGACTCTGTAAGTCAAAGTGATTCATCGTCCTGCGCCCCTTTCTCACATACACACATGAATCTATACAGACTTGAAAAGGAATAGGTTAATTGTCATGTGTGGTCCACTGCCCCATTCATTCACCTAATTAAGTACCTATTTGACCATTCTGGCAGATTTATGTGGACTCCTATTAGGTTTTACATATCCCCATAATGTTGTAGATACATAAACCTATCAAACATTCACTCTGGCAGATTTATGACCCTTTGCCCTACCGACACAGGAAGTGTGTTAAATGCTTAAGGTCAGACACATAGCTCATGTGTGGTTGTGACAAAGCATGTATTCTTTCTTTGAAAGTCAATTCATCATCACTATTAGGACAAAAGAAAAAAAGTTTAAGAGGTCTACATACACTTGTTAAATGTTGGGGTTTTTTTTTTACCCAGCTATTGTTACTGAATTGGGTATTCTGACAACCAAATAAGTCAATTATAGATCAATTACTAATACGTTAATGTTTGTTTTCTTTTACTGTTAAAAGTGTAAGTAACAGAATCGTGTGGAGTATTGTTGCCAAGGCAAGTAGTCAAGGTTCTGTTTCACGGTACCTGCAGATTGATCGGCATTTTTACCTGTCTTTTTTGTTTGTTGTTGTTTTTTTTTTCTTTTCATAGGTTGGAACTAAAAGGGGGTGATGGGGGGGGAATACGATCAAGTAAAATGATACGACTGGCATAAAATCAGATATAAACAGCATAAAAATAAAACAACAAGCTGGTCCCATCTAGGCGTAATCGGAGACAATGACACACTTAGAGTGCTCCTGATGTCCAGTCTGCTCTGTAGCATTGTTTTGGTCGCTGTAACCACAGAAAATCCTGCTTCACAAAGATAGGATGTTATAGATAGGATGAGTCTTGAACTGAATTAACCTGTGTCAAGAGGCACAGATGCACCGACTGATGTAATTGGGAGAGAATACTAATAATTTTTATATTTTTCAAAATAAAACATCACTCAGACTCTGATCATCGATAAATTATATATATATATATATATATATATATATACTTTTTTCTGTGCGGCCCGGTAACAAAAGACCGACGGACCGGTACTGTTGGGATCCAGAGGCTTGCCCACCAGAGGGCGCCGAGGATCCCTTCCTGATTGTTTTTACTTCTGTGGGGATCTGGGGTGCTGTCTACCTTCCTCCACCAGAGGGCGTACTGGATCACTTGAAGCTGGAGCTGACTTCACCAGCTGCTGCTCATCTGCTCATCAGGGGACCAGTACTTAAGTGGGCTGTGGACAACACCCCGGCGCCAGAGTGTTTTGCCAGTTATGGTTAGCAGATCTGAGCCAACCTGCCTGTCTGAATCTAGACTCCCTGAACCTGAACCTAATCTGTTTTTGTCCTCTCTGCTTCTAGGAAGAACCTGTCTGAAACCAAAGACTCAGGAAGAGTTTCTCTGTCAGAAACTAGTCTGTCTGACTACTGAAGAGCCCTGGAGATCAGAAACTCTGGAAGAGTTTCCCAGTCTGAAACCAGTCTGTCTGATTGGGGAAGAACCCTGGAAAATCAAACCTGTCAGCCTTCAGTCCTGCCGTCTGCCTCTGGACCCTTCAGGTTTCCCCCTCTGCCACTCTGCTCAAATCTCAGAACAGTGAAAATCAGTCGTGACCAGTCCTGGACCAGATTACCCCAGAATCAGTTCTGTGTTCAACCAGTGTTTTTTCAATAAATCTTTTGAACTTTTTCCCCTGTCTCCGGTTGTGTTCTGCATGTGGGCTAGCAACCAAAACCCATCATGACAGGTACCGGTCCGCGGCTCGTTGGTTGAGGAACGCTGCTCCAAGTCACATCCATTGTATGCTGCTCAAGCCTTGTGATCTCGGGTAACAATATGAAAACTGATGCAGCTCTTGATATGTTCTTTAAAAGACTTTTATTTTCCACTTGCACTGAAGGACTGTAAGCCTATATGACAAGTGAATGGAAATTCTGTATGTTTATATATTTTTTCACTTTTTGTGCTTTATAAATTCTATTGATAAATAAATATTAATAGTGAAATGGTATTTATAATGAAATTAATAAGTCATGTATACTATTGTAATATGATAAAAATAATTATTATATATCAGTATGTAAAATAATAACTAAATATCAGCAACCCAATTTGTTGGATTAGAAGAACCATGGAGTGTAGTCAATTTGAGCCCTTGGTGTATTAAGGGACCAAACCCAAGTATTTGGTTTAAATTAACTCAGCGTGTGTTATGTCTAATATTCAATCAGCTCTGAGTTGGTAGACTACCCAAATTGGGTTGTTTTTAACCCAGCATTTTTTGTGTGTATCAACATACAGTGCTTTTCATAGTCTATACATTTAGGGAAAACTAAACCATTTAACATTTCTGTTTGGGCTTCGTGTGTATGAAGGACCAACTCTGCCATATCTAAAAATAAATACAGAAATAAATAAATGCTCAATAAATGTATAAGCATACAATTAATTGCCAACAAAAAAGTGAGACATAAATGTATAGAACTCTTAATTAGCTTCTTTATTTATTTGCCTTTGTAATATTTACCTTATTTATTTTTCTGTCCTTTATAATCTTCAACTTTATTTTTTAATTACTTATATTTTTAAGTATTTATTTATGTGCATGTTATAATATTTTTGTCTGTTTTATTCTTCCTTTGTATTTTTTTACCTTAGTTATTTCTTCGCCGCTGTTTATTTCTCTCTGCCCTTTTTACATTTCTCTCCGCCCTTTTTACATTTCCCTCTGCCCTTTTTACATTTCTCTCTGCCCTTTTTACATTTCCCTCTGCCCTTTTTACATTTCTCTATGCATTTCTGTCTCATTATGCAAATGAGGAGGGGGGGTGTCCTAGAGAGTCAACTTCTGCTCATTGGTTGGCTTGGCGGTCCATCTACTTAACTCACAGAGCTCAGAGTACTAAGTTAAATGTTCTCTTTTCTGTTGCTGTTGTTCAATAAAAGTACGTTTTAAGATCATTTGAGGCGAGAACCTTATACTTTTAAGCATCACCATATGGCCCATTCACAGATGCGTAATTTAAAAGAAAATGTGACGAACTTCAGAGGACCGTGGCAACCAGCAAAGCTCCGAAGCTGACGGCAGCCAGGTCTAACCACAGCCCATCTGCAGCGGCCCTCTCTCGGAATAGCCGTGTGTGAAGCGTGTTGGTTAGCATTTTACTACATCGGTCGAATCTACAGGAGGAGAGTCTGATGTCGAGTCTGAAGTCATTAGAACTTGAGTAGGGACTTTGCCAAACTTTGCCAAATACAACAAAAAAAATCGCCATCATAGCCTGGCTATAGACCTGGCTGCCGTCAGCTTCGGAGCTCCGCTGGTTGCCACGGTCCTCTCAAGTTCGTCACATTTTCTTTTAAATTACGCATTAAATCTGTGAATGGGCCATATGGTGATGCTTAAAAGTATAAGGTTCTCGCCTCAAATGATCTTAAAACATACTTTAATTGAACAACAGCAACAGAAAAGAGAACATTTAACTTAGTACTCTGAGCTCTGTGAGTTAAGAAGATGGACCGCCAAGCCAACCAATGAGCAGAAGTTGACTCTCTAGGACATACCCCCTATTCATTTGCATAATGAGGCATAAATGCATAGAGAAATGTAAAAAGGGCAGAGATAAATGTAAAAAGGGCAGAGAGAAATAAACAGCGGCGAAGAAATAACTAAGGTAAAAAAATACAAAGGAAGAATAAAACAGACAAAAATACGACTTCCGCTTCCGGCATGCCTGAGTAGAGACGCTCACAGACGACGCTCTGACCGAAATAACTCTTAATTTGCCTGCTATTAAAATTTAATTCCACCTACATATCCAGAACACGCTACCACAATGACCTCGTCACAAAAGACTACAAGAAGAGAACAGAAGACGGGGAAAAATGATGATGCGAAGACGATACAGAAGCAGCTAACACTTGATGCTAGCTTAGCTCAAAATGAAACAGGGACAGACTTGTTGATGCTAACAGAGCTCCGTAAATTCCGAGAAGAATCTAGAACGGCGCAACGAGACATTCTAGAATCCCAAGCCCGGATGGAAGCATCGATTGCAGAAATAAAAAAGAGAACTGATGCACTAGAAGAGAGACTGAACACAGCGGAAGAGAGAGTGAGTAACGCAGAAGATCGTGGCTTACAGCAGGAAAGGGTGCTAGCTTACTTACTCAAAAAAGACGCTAAAATAACCGCAAAACTGGATGATATGGAGAATAGGATGCGCAGGAACAATATAAGAATGTATGGGATAAAGGAAGATTCAGAAGGAAAGGAGATGATTCCGTTCATTAAAGAACTGTTAAAATCTGCGCTGAAGCTACCTGAAGGTATGGATATTTGCATTGAGAGAGCCCATAGAGCCACAGTTCCGAAACCGAGGCCAACATCCCCGCCGAGATCCATAATAGTTAGTTTTTTGGACTTCAGTGTTAAACAGATGGTACTACAGTGTGCGTGGAAGCAGCGGAATGTAGAGTTTCTGGGAAACAAAATCTTCTTCGACCAAGATTACTCCACTGAAGTGCAGAGAAAAAGAAAACAAGTGCGTGAAGTCATTAAAAAGCTGAAGGAACGCAATATAAAGGCGCAGTCACCATACCCGGCTCTACTTACAGGTGCTGGTCATAAAATTAGAATATCATGAAAAAGTAGATTGATTTCAGTAATTCCATTTAAAAAGTGAAACTTGTATATTATATTCATACATTACATACAAACTCATATATTTCAGATGTTTATTTTGTTTAATTTTGATGATTACAAATGACAACAAATGAAAATCTCAAATTCATCATATCAGAAAATTAGAATATTACTGAAGACCAATAAAAACAAAGGATTTATAGAAATGTTGGCCAACTGAAAAGTATGAACATGAAAAGTATGAGCATGTACAGCACTCAGTATTTAGTTGGGCCTCCTTTGG